TAATTGATTTCGTAATCCATGTACTATTGAAATTTGAATAAGCGCAGGTACGTGTTACCACCTGTGACTGAGGGATCTCAGGGCTGTCACTCCACTTCAGGCACCTACTTTGGCCCATTCTCAGACTGTCTCAAAAGGAATCAACCCTGTACGTTCAGCCGTGTCGATTCTAATTGATTTCGTAATCCATGTACTATTGAAATTTGAATAAGCGCAGGTACGTGTTACCACTCGTGACTGAGGGATCTCAGGGCTGTCAGAACTGTTCTCAGGGCTTTTCAGAGGCATTCTGAGACTGTCTGAAAAGGAATCAACCCTGTACGTTCAGCCGTGTCGATTCTAATTGATTTCGTAATCCATGTACTATTGAAATTTGAATAAGACCAGGTGTGTGTTCTACTGCTCGTGCCCAAGGGATCTCAGGGCTGTCAAAACTGATTTAAGGGCTTTTCACATGCATTCTGAGACTGTCTCAAAAGGAATCAACCCTGTACGTTCAGCCGTGTCGGTTCTAATTGATTTCGTAATCCATGTACTATTGAAATTTGAATAAGACCAGGTGTGTGTTACTGCTCGTGCCCAAGGGATCTCAGGGCTGTCAAAACTGATTTAAGGGCTTTTCAGAGGCATTCTGAGACTGTCTCAAAAGGAATCAACCCTGTACGTTCAGCCGTGTCGATTCTATTGATTTTGTAATCCATGTACTATTGAAATTTGAATAAGACCAGGTGTGTGTTACTGCTCGTGCCCAAGGGATCTCAGGGCTGTCAGAACTGATTTAAGGGCTTTTCACAGGCATTCTGAGACTGTCTGAAAAGGAATCAACCCTGTACGTCCAGCCGTGTCGATTCTAATTGATTTCGTAATCCATGTACTATTGAAATTTGAATAAGCGCAGGTACGTGTTACCACTCGTGACTGAGGGATCTCAGGGCTGTCAGAACTGATTTAAGGGCTTTTCACAGGCATTTTGAGACTGTCTGAAAAGGAATCAACCCTGTACGTTCAGCCGTGTCGATTCTAATTGATTTCGTAATCCATGTACTATTGAAATTTGAATAAGACCAGGTGTGTGTTACTGCTCGTGCCCAAGGGATCTCAGGGCTGTCAAAACTGATTTAAGGGCTTTTCACAGGCATTCTGAGACTGTCTGAAAAGGAATCAACCCTGTACGTTCAGCCGTGTCGATTCTAATTGATTTCGTAATCCATGTACTATTGAAATTTGAATAAGCGCAGGTACGTGTTACCACTTGTGACTGAGGGATCTCAGGGCTGTCAGTCCACTTCAGGCACCTACTTTGGCCCATTCTCAGACTGTCTCAAAAGGAATCAACCCTGTACCTTCAGCCGTGTCGATTCTAATTGATTTCGTAATCCATGTACTATTGAAATTTGAATAAGCGCAGGTACGTGTTACCACTCGTGACTGAGGGATCTCAGGGCTGTCAAAACTGATTTAAGGGCTTTTCACATGCATTCTGAGACTGGCTCAAAAGGAATCAACCCTGTACGTTCAGCCGTGTCGATTCTAATTGATTTCGTAATCCATGTACTATTGAAATTTGAATAAGCGCAGGTACGTGTTACCACTCGTGACTGAGGGATCTCAGGGCTGTCAGAACTGTTCTCAGGGCTTTTCAGAGGCATTCTGAGACTGTCTGAAAAGGAATCAACCCTGTACGTTCAGCCGTGTCGATTCTAATTGATTTCGTAATCCATGTACTATTGAAATTTGAATAAGACCAGGTGTGTGTTACTGCTCGTGCCCAAGGGATCTCAGGGCTGTCAAAACTGATTTAAGGGCTTTTCACATGCATTCTGAGACTGTCTGAAAAGGAATCAACCCTGTACGTTCAGCCGTGTCGATTCTAATTGATTTCGTAATCCATGTACTATTGAAATTTGAATAAGCGCAGGTACGTGTTACCACTCGTGACTGAGGGATCTCAGGGCTGTCAGTCCACTTCAGGCACCTACTTTGGCCCATTCTGAGACTGTCTCAAAAGGAATCAACCCTGTACGTTCAGCCGTGTCGATTCTAATTGATTTCGTAATCCATGTACTATTGAAATTTGAATAAGACCAGGTGTGTGTTACTGCTCGTGCCCAAGGGATCTCAGGGCTGTCAAAACTGATTTAAGGGCTTTTCACAGGCATTTTGAGACTGTCTGAAAAGGAATCAACCCTGTACGTTCAGCCGTGTCGATTCTAATTGATTTCGTAATCCATGTACTATTGAAATTTGAATAAGACCAGGTGTGTGTTACTGCTCGTGCCCAAGGGATCTCAGGGCTGTCAAAACTGATTTAAGGGCTTTTCACATGCATTCTGAGACTGGCTCAAAAGGAATCAACCCTGTACGTTCAGCCGTGTCGATTCTAATTGATTTCGTAATCCATGTACTATTGAAATTTGAATAAGCGCAGGTACGTGTTACCACTCGTGACTGAGGGATCTCAGGGCTGTCAGAACTGTTCTCAGGGCTTTTCAGAGGCATTCTGAGACTGTCTGAAAAGGAATCAACCCTGTACCTTCAGCCGTGTCGATTCTCATTTCGAAATCCATGTACTATTGAAATTTGAATAAGACCAGGTGTGTGTTACTGCTCGTGCCCAAGGGATCTCAGGGCTGTCAGAACTGATTTAAGGGCTTTTCACAGGCATTCTGAGACTGTCTGAAAAGGAATCAACCCTGTACGTCCAGCCGTGTCGATTCTAATTGATTTCGTAATCCATGTACTATTGAAATTTGAATAAGCGCATGTACGTGTTACCACTCGTGACTGAGGGATCTCAGGGCTGTCAGAACTGTTCTCAAGGCTTTTCAAAGGCATTCTGAGACTGTCTGAAAAGGAATCAACCCTGTACCTTCAGCCGTGTCGATTCTAATTGATTTCGTATTCCATGTACTATTGAAATTTGAATAAGACCAGGTGTGTGTTACTGCTCGTGACTGAGGGATCTCAGGGCTGTCACTCCACTTCAGACACCTACTTTGGCCCAATCTGAGACTGTCTCAAAAGGAATTAATCCTGTACGTTCAGCCGTGTCGATTCTAATTGATTTCGTAATCCATGTACTATTGAAATTTGAATAAGCGCAGGTGTGTGTTACTGCTCGTGCCCAAGGGATCTCAGGGCTGTCAGAACTGATTTAAGGGCTTTTCACAGGCATTCTGAGACTGTCTCAAAAGGAATCAACCCTGTACGTTCAGCCGTGTCGATTCTACTTGATTTCGTAATCCATGTACTATTGAAATTTGAATAAGACCAGGTGTGTGTTACTGCTCGTGCCCAAGGGATCTCAGGGCTGTCAAAACTGATTTAAGGGCTTTTCAGAGGCATTCTGAGACTGTCTGAAAAGGAATCAACCCTGTACCTTCAGCCGTGTCGATTCTAATTGATTTCGAAATCCATGTACTATTGAAATTTGAATAAGACCAGGTGTGTGTTACTGCTCGTGCCCAAGGGATCTCAGGGCTGTCAAAACTGATTTAAGGGCTTTTCACATGCATTCTGAGACTGTCTCAAAAGGAATCAACCCTGTACGTTCAGCCGTGTCGATTCTAATTGATTTCGTAATCCATGTACTATTGAAATTTGAATAAGCGCAGGTACGTGTTACCACTCGTGACTGAGGGATCTCAGGGCTGTCAGTCCACTTCAGGCACCTACTTTGGCCCATTCTGAGACTGTCTGAAAAGGAATCAACCCTGTACGTTCAGCCGTGTCGGTTCTAATTGATTTCGTAATCCATGTACTATTGAAATTTGAATAAGCGCAGGTACGTGTTACCACTCGTGACTGAGGGAACTCAGGGCTGTAAGTCCACTTCAGGCACCGACTTTGGCTCATTCTGAGACTGTCTCAAAAGGAATCAACCCTGTACCTTCAGCCGTGTCGATTCTAATTGATTTCGAAATCCATGTACTATTGAAATTTGAATAAGACCAGGTGTGTGTTACTGCTCGTGCCCAAGGGATCTCAGGGCTGTCAAAACTGATTTAAGGGCTTTTCACATGCATTCTGAGACTGTCTCAAAAGGAATCAACCCTGTACGTTCAGCCGTGTCGATTCTAATTGATTTCGTATTCCATGTACTATTGAAATTTGAATAAGACCAGGTGTGTGTTACTGCTCGTGACTGAGGGATCTCAGGGCTGTCACTCCACTTCAGACACCTACTTTGGCCCAATCTGAGACTGTCTCAAAAGGAATTAATCCTGTACGTTCAGCCGTGTCGATTCTAATTGATTTCGTAATCCATGTACTATTGAAATTTGAATAAGCGCAGGTGTGTGTTACTGCTCGTGCCCAAGGGATCTCAGGGCTGTCAGAACTGATTTAAGGGCTTTTCACAGGCATTCTGAGACTGTCTCAAAAGGAATCAACCCTGTACGTTCCGCCGTGTCGATTCAATTCGATTTCGAAGTCCATGTACTATTGAAATTCGAATAAGCCCAGGTGTGTGTTACTGCTCGTGCCTGAGACAACTCAGGGCTGTCAGAACACTTCTAGGGTTTCTCACAGTCATTACAAGACAGTCTGAGAAGGAATCGACCCTGTACGTTCATCCGTGTCGATTCAATTCGATTTCAAAATCCATGTAGTATTGAAATTCGAATAAGCCCAGGTGTCACGAACTACGTCGTGACACCTCGATTATCCCACCAACAATGACCCTCCTTTGACCATCAAAACCCCCATCACGCCCTAACCTCTTTACTCTTCACGTAACTCAGGACATCTGAGACCAAGTACGGCGAAGTTAGACGGAGTTAGGCTAGGTAGGGAGAATGGGAGCAGAAGTGAGGCGAAGTTAGACGGAGTTAGGCTAGGTAGGGACAATGGGAGCAGAAGTACGGCGAAGTTAGACGGAGTTAGGCTAGGTAGGGAGAATGGGAGCAGAAGTGCGGCGAAGTTAGACGGAGTTAGGCTAGGTAGGGACAATGGGAGCAGAAGTACGGCGAAGTTAGACGGAGTTAGGCTAGGTAGGGAGAATGGGAGCAGAAGTGCGGCGATGTAAGGCGGGGTTAGTCGAAGGATGGAGAAGAACGGCCGGGGCTCGGGGAAGTTGGACAAAGAGCGTTGAAATACGTCTAAGCGCGAGAGGGTTGGGTGAAGATCTAGGAGGAGTAAATGATATTAGCTGAGAAGATCGCTGAAGTTCTTCAGCAATCCTTGATTGTTGTCAGTAGTGAAAAACAGATAGAGATAGCTATAAACAAATCAAGATACATCGCCATCAGTAGAACAAAACCCCAGTTAGAGTAACTACGCCGAAGCACGCCGTAGTTACACTCCTTTGGACGTCTGCGCCCTCCTGGTTGGGTGAGACATCGACTTAGAAGCGTCAAGTTATCCGAGGTTTGTCGACCGTCGGTCTGATAGAGAGTAGATGTTTGACGGCCGTGACACCTTCAAACCAGCCTAAAACTCGTCGTGGTATGCCAATGAAGTTTGGAGATACGGTTGCTGGTTAGTTACGTTAGTATTTTGTTGGTTAAGCTTATATAATGTAGAATTTGACGCACAATATACGTGGGACGTAATTGTCGGCTTATCCCTGCGAAAGTGGCCAGATTCCAACGTAGATTCGGTCATTAGAATCCCAGATGACAAGAAGAGTCCGAAGGTAGCTATCCTGCCCAATGAATCGTCGAAAGTTAGTCTTTTATTTTGTTTTCATAAGTAGAGTTTTGGATCTAACATATGTAGCTAAAAAACCATCGAGAGGCGTTTAATCACGCCGTTAGCCCTAATGTCTGGCGACGAACTGGTTCTTTGTCCTGCTCTCAGTGTCAAGGCCGTCAAAATCGCTCAAATTCGTGTGCTTTTGGATGTTTGACCGTAGGTGAGATACCTACTGGTGCGTGCTGTGAGTGTGTGGCACTTGGTACATCAACACGATGTGATTTTGTTAGTAAGGCAGAGATCAAAGTAGACGAGCGAGCGTTCCTTGGTTCTCTTTGTGAAGAGCTGGGTTCAATTAAAGCGGTTGAAAATCAGGCTAAGCTAGCTGGTAAGTTTGGTATTTATCCTTTACGAGCTTAATCTCACAGACTAGCACAAGGTGGATACATTCTCGAACCTAATGGTATTGCTGGACAATTAGCGATCATTAGAACACGAATCTCGGATCTAATTGCAACACAAGCCCAAGAACTCGCTCCCGATGACGCCTCTGTGTTAGAAACTCCTGGAAAACAAATGAGGAAGTCAACTCGGGCTGGAGCTAGCCCCTTCTAGTGGTTAGTAGTGTTTGTATGCAAGCTATGGTTAGTGTTTGCAGAAGCGAGCAAGAATGAGCAAAATAGAGCAAGAGTAAGCAGATGTTAAGACGTGATTTCACTGTGAACAATCAACACCATGAATCACAATTTCGCTGCGTCAGTTATCAACATGATACCCGGACGGGCCCTAGGACCCCCGTCCGGACTGACTCAGGGTTCATGTTGTATAACAATTCATTATTCGAAGCTATCCGTTATCTCTTCGAAGAATGTGTCTTCCTCTGTCTGAACTACATAGATCGTCTAAGCGTCAGGATCACGCGATCACGGGTACCTTACCTGGTAGTCGTAATCCATTTCATGTTCCCGTCTCCGTCTCATGTTCCCGCTACCGGACTTACTCCGTTCCGTACCACGCCTGGTACCAATCCTTTGACACCACTCCCCTTTTTTACATCTCCGTCTTGGCAACTATCAACGTTCTTTCTCTGCTATTCTACCTCAACATCGCTTCGAACTACGTACGCCCTTCATCGGTATCATCCCGCGCTCTTTTTAGTATATAGGACGTAGTCTTTTCTCAGCAATGTCTTGTCGAATGTATTTTGTGTTTTCCTAGTTATATCATTTGACATACATCTCATCGATTCTACAGATCTCTTCGATACACTTCATCACTAGGTTTGTTCCCTACAAGGCCTCATTGCCACAGCTCATCGACGCAGACTATTCCGACGTCTGGTCCTTACACTAAGCACTAGTCAGTAGCAAGGCCTTGTCTCTCGAGAACCTAGAGCCGTCTTGACAGGGGGGGGGACGAGGAGGTAGAGGAGGAAGAGGAAGAAGCGAAGGTAGGTAGAGGAGGTAGAGGAAGAAACGGAGGTAGGTAGAGGAAGAAGCGGAGGTGGAGGGGGTAGAGGGTGAAGGTGATCAAGAGTAAGACAAGCAAAAGGTTATCATTAGAGATGATGTCATTCTAGTCCATCGTTGCTATTCTAGGGTTGGCTGCTATTCTAGTCTTTTCGCACGGAAACGTTGCTATTCTAGTCCTTACCTCGTGATTATTACAAGTACAGGTGGGCGAGTGGGATAATGGGATCACGGGTGGAATGTGTTCCGTGGCAAGTATGGTGGAATTTGGGAATAGGAGCGACACACCTCGTTGTCGAATGGTGGCCGGGTGTGTCGGTGAGAAAAGTTCTGAGAAGACCTGAGAGTTTGTTATCCGTGACGGAAGCCTGTGGTTGTCCGTGATGGAAGGGCAAGGGAACAGTACGAGTAGCGAGCAGGGGAATTAACGGCCCTCAACAAGGTGGGCAGGCTAATGATACTCCGTGGATCAAGCAAGTGTAGAAAGCCACAATGTCCGGTGTAATCACTATAGGTGCAGTGGCGAACAATAAATTTTCATGGTGGTGAGGGCGGGACTCAAATGGTGATTGATGTCTGTGCAGGCGTGCACTATGGCTGTCAATATGCAGATGGGCTGCGATAAGTTGGATTTCAGAGGGAAGCAACCAATGTTTGCTCAGAGGCGAGATCCCGTGGTGAGGAATTGTGGGTTAGTACAAGATTAGTGCAGCAATCAGTAATCAGCCATGGCGAGACTGGCGAGACGTCCGAGATGTGTGTGTCTGTCTGTAATTGGCAGGTTCGATTCGAGCCCTCTCCACCGGTTGTAGCGATCAGCACCGAAAACGTCTCCAATGTAGAAAGTAAAAGTCGATTTGAAGAGAAAGAGTATGCATTCTATTCATTCTATCCTACCTATTTATCTATCTAATAACCTATCCTGCTAATTCTATCTACCTATTTATCTATCTACTATCCTGCTAATTCTATCTACCTATTTATCTATCTAAAAACCTATCCTGCTGAATCATCTGCTTAGCAATGAGTGAACAAGCAGATGAGTCAGCTTACGAGTCGTGTACGGTATCACAATGTGTTCCGGAACATGTGGTGGACGGGAAAGGAATTCTGGACGGGAAGGGAACCATGGGTCGCTCACAAGTTTGCCGTCTGCGAATTTGTCATCAAGACCTGTAGAGAATCACAAGTTTGCCGTCTGTGAGTTTGTCAGCAAGACCGATAGAGCTAGATCAAGGGAGTAGATGCGATGGGCACTGAAGGGAGAGAGGGAAGAAGACAAAAAAAACAAGATACTCGAAGTGGAGAGAGAGGCGTGACGTTCAGACACTCACTCACTTGGGTTGTGACTTGTACTTGTTCGATGACCATGCCTAATCTACCTTGAACTGTTCCTTTCTCCACCACGACTATCATTTTTCCATGACAATTTCGAAAGAGTGAATAACACTTGAGGGCAGGTCATGTAAGTCTTGAACAAAGTACCGTCCGCCGTGACGGTGAGACTTGCTTCATTCTTAACAAACAGTCGTCATATCCGCGGCGAGTCGAGTTTGATCCGAGGGACAGAATCATGACCTGGTTTGTATTTGAAAGCGGCAAGAGAAGATCTCAGGAACGATTCGTCGACTAGGGCAGGACTGAGGGATATCAACAGAGGGTAAGAAAGACGAGATGAAGACGCCCAACTGGAAGCGAAGGACTGACACCATGCGAGGTCAGGCAGCAAAGATTGACGTGGTGTGGTGACCATGAACCTGAAGAGTTTCAAGAGGATCTGATGGATCTGATCGGAAACTACAATCCAAAATCCGTCCCTTCCCTCCTCTTCGTGATAAACGTCCACACGCGAATGGGACAGGTGAGAAGTTGGAATCCGTGGTGAGGCAAGTCGAGCTTTGCTTGCTGCTTCGGGCGGTGGCGGTGGTGATGATGAGAGAGGGAGAGATGACTTGGAATGGCGATAAAAAAAAAGTGAAAGAGTGGTTAGGTAACTTGAGGGATGAACGAGTCGAGGCGAGGGAGAGAAATTATGGTAGCTGGGAAGGGGGGAGTGGTGACAGATGATGATGTTGTCCACGGTCCCGTCCGTCGTTATGTCATAATCGATAACGAGAAATACGGAAAATCCCTGAAAAAAGGGGGGGGGGGGGGGGGGAACTGATCCGTTCATATGAATTCCAAGGCGAGGCCACCGAGGTCTGGCAATAAAGCGGATATGGTTCGATTCGGAGAGATCGCAGTAGTTGAAGCGAACATGGTGGGGTCGGCAGAGACAGTATTTTCAGACACGCCCTCTTTCCCAGTGAGAGGAGAGATGAAATCGTGATTCGGCAAGGGGCGGTGGGGGGAAGCGATAGGTGACCTCGTTAGTGTCCTCGGTGCACCACGAGGAAAAGAGGGGGAAGGTTGTTGGGAAATCGGAAAGAGCGTTTGATGATGAGGAGACGTCGGTGAAGCCAAACCCAAACCCAAAGCGGAAAAATTTGGTGACGGGGGAGTTGTCGGATGGAAAGATAGAGACCTTGAGGGATGATGTCTACGAAGACGTTCTATCGAGGGAGGTGGTGATGTTGAGCTATGAGTCAATCTTCTCTTTCCTCTCGATCTCCGGACTCTGTCATCCTCCACCACCACCTCCCCCGCCGCGTCCTCCTCCTCCTCCTCCTCGTGCTGTCCGTCCCCTCCATCCTCTCCGTCCTGCCCACCAGCCCGAGCCCCGTTTCCCGTGACAGGATTCCCTGCAGCACCCTCCGTCCCCCTATCGCCCACACGTCCACGTCCACGTCCACGATCACGGCCACCGGGTCGACCGATGGGTCGACCGTTACCTCGACCGGCCTTACGTGATCTCCCCGTCAGAGCTTCCAACGGACAACGGTGTCGGTTGCCCGTGTCGGTGTTGATGACTGTGCTGCCGCCCCCCGAGCGAGGTAGATGATACGGTCCCGGTGGTAACCTCGGCATCGTATCGGATCGCTTTGTGTGAAGACGTTGTAGAACGAGCACTTACGGCGTGGGATTAGTGTTGAAAAATAGGCCTGCAGGACCATTTATATTGACCTGGAGGGGGCGATGGCTACCACGTGCCTATTTGACAGGTAGTTATGTTACGCCTGAGAAGCAACAAGTCGGCAACACTTGTCATACAAACTCCATTACAAACCTCTGAATGATTGTCCTCTGCAGGTAATGGGACATGACTGACAGCTGCATGGATAGTTGAACATGCACCAAATCACCGACCAGCAAGCTAAAACCTCACCCACGGCTTTCTTATCATGTCGGTGACGTGAGCGATCCCATCTACCTTCTACGTCGATTCCACATGCCATCCTGCGACCCAAAAGTAGCAAGTACTCGGCAGGGGGTGGGTGGGTTTGGGGATATGACAAGGCTAAGCAAGTGGTCAAAAGATCATTGTATCCATCTAATACCTGGATGTTACGAGTAGAGCTCTATCTACCCTTCCTTACTCGTTCTACCCTGCCTTACTCGTTCTCCCCCCCTCCCGTGGGAAGCTGATGTGATGGATCGGTCATTGAGTAGAGAGAGTATAAACAACACGATGTCATGTCGACAGTGATTGACTCGAATAGATTCGACTCGACTGAAAGTCAGCACCATCGCCACGAGGGTAAAATTCGTAAAAGTCTTTCGTCAGAGGCGAGAAGGGTCGGGAGAGAGAGAGAGAGAAGACGCTTGACTCACCTGAATCCACATTTTGGTATGACCATGTTGTCGAAAAAGGAATGAGGAGATGGATCATCCATCCATCCTTTACGTGGGAACACGTCGAAAAGGGTTCCTCATCCGGTCGGACGTGATGATGAGAAATTGAGAACTCTGAACATCTGATAGTCAGGAAAGGTATTCAAGCAAAGCGGTCAAAACTTGTGTAAACGATTATAAATCACTCAAACCGTGTCCGTGACTATAACCACTCACCTCACCCGTCAAACCTCAAAAGAGATGGATAAAGCCCCAAAGGCTAAATGAGCGAGTTGGGGGTGGTGATATAGGAATCGGCGAGGAAGTCTAGAAACGACCGAATGACTTGGGGCCGGAGTGTGACGTCGGACGAAGTTTAAAGCAACTTTTCACACGTTCATGAGTGGTCTTCACCTCCAGAGATGGCCTGACGATAAAGAGCGATCTGCTCCACCGATGGCTCCATGTACTGTCGGCAGAGGGAAGCCAAAGTTTCTTTTTTCTGGAGGGGATCAGTAGACGTCCGATACGAGTATGGGCACAGACTTCTTTCTGTAGTCGCATGATTCCCTAGAAAAAAAATTCCCATACGTAGATTCAACGTCTGGAATATTGTATAGATCACATGGTCCGAGAATTCGACAGTAAGGAAAAAAAGGAGACAAGACGAAGACTGGGAGGAACGAGAGAAACCGGCGAGCTCGAGTGACAGTGTTGAGACATGATAAACGGAGGGGTTTATCTACCGGGGTGGGAGAGGGTTATCTACCCATGTTCAAAAGTCGTGCATGATACGACCATGTACCAACCAGAGGGACCAAGCTAGAAAAAGATTTAATGTGCTCACCCTTGTCATCTCTTCCAACTGATTTGACAACTCTGTCGACTTTGCCTTCTCATTCATCAACTTGGTTTCCTGAGATTCCAACATCTCATTCATGTCGGCGATTGTTTCATCCCGCTCAGCCAACTGACCCTCTTTCCCAGCTATCACCGCCTTTTGCTCGACTATCAACCTCTCCTTTTGCTTCAACCTGTTGGACCGGATCAATGCCAGAGTTTCCCCTATGACGGTCGCGATCTGAACCAGAGAAGAATCCAACCCAGGATCCACTTCTACAGTCCCACCCTCGGCAACCTCCTTCCTGAGCGCTTCAGCCAGTCGTCTTATGTGCTCGGCGCTCTCTATGGACATGGCTGTCTTCGGTTTTTGATTGGTTTCCCGATAAGAAATGAAGAATATGTAGCACCGCGCGGACCAAAAAACTTTTGAATTACGAGGTGGAAAACTCAGTTACGTAAGGTGGAACCTGTTGCCACAAATCTGTTGCTACACACCAAAATGGTTATTATGCATGCACACGGAACCCTACACCTGTAAGATAATGAGGCGAACAGTATTTGACCCCTGGTTACCTTCCGGTACCTCTAACATCCCTGCAGTACTCCCTGTCACCGAGGTAGTCGCTTCCGGACCTTCCCCCTTCCGTGCTATCCTTCCTTCCCTCTCCTCCCCCTTTTTTCTTCCGTTTTCTCTTTCCCGCTGCCGCCTCAATCTCCCGTAGCCTTTCAAGTACCGTCCCACCTGTTAAATTATGTGTTCCAATATTTGAAACTGTAGCTCGCTTTCTGTCGCTTTGGAGGCTTGAGAAGAGTGCGCAACTCCTAAATCTCCATCTGCGCCCTTGTACGTTCCGACCGTTCACTCTCAAGGGAGGCAGTCACGTCTAAAAGTGGCTTTTTGATTGGTGTTTCATTGATAGCTGGACTGTTTCGCAGCAGCTTGTCCTTCTCAGAGGTGATAGATGCTGAGGATTGAGATTGAAGAAGGGGACGGGTAGGTGTTTTATTGGGAGTGGAAAGCATTCAATAGACAACATGGGGATTAAAAGGGTGTATGTCACGAGACATACTGACCAGCATATGCACGATATAACAGTGCCCAACGGAACAGTGATCTTAACCACTGCGACGAAAAGGCCTATTAATCGGCGGTTAACCCTACCGCCGATCGCTGGTTAAATACCCTTCCCCGACTTTCGCTCGACTTGTCACACACTTTGTGACAGTGTAGACCGGACTTCCTTCATCCAACACTGATTATGCTCTTTGGTCATTGCCCTCTCCCTAGCAGTCACTAGATCAGCTGCACACTGTTCTTTCTCTATTGAACCTGTATTGTGACGGATCACGATATGGGAGAACTTCATCAAATGTCGTTTGAGGGGACTGAAGACACCAGTATTGGGTGGTTGTGTCCAATGTGATGATTGTGGAGGAAGAACCATGACATCTATTGAGTTTTCAATGCAAAAGCTAACGAAGTCGGTCCTCAGCCTTAACATGACTCCCATGCCCATCTAGGATAAGAAGACCGCGTTGAGATGAATTGAACGGAACTGTCATCAGCTGGAATTGTGATTTGAGAAAGTAGCAAGCAAGTGAGTTGCTGGACCACCCTTTCAAATTTGTTGTCCACTGCCAACCCTCAATATCTCTATCTTGGGGACTTAAACAAAGGTTGAACTCGGCTTTCCCTTTGAAGATAATGATTGGGGGAAGAGCTTGACCTACAGCTGACATACACTCAATTGCAGTAACCCACTCTTGCCTCCCCTTCTGCGCCTTTACTACCTTCCCCTTGATACTCCTATCTCCTTCTGCTATTGTCATCACTTGAGAGGATAGAGTGGTACCAATATTATATCCAGTCTCATCCATATTGTGAATGTTCTCTGGGCGATAATGATGTTGGTCTCACAGTGCTGACATCTTGGTGAACCATTTCTTGATGAGTGTAAGTTCACTTCCATCAATTTGAGCTTTATCAATGGCATGAGACCAGGTAATTTTGCCTTCGGGATGTCAATTTTTGAACTTTTGAAGCCAGTTGATCCCAATAGGGAGGATGTTGGTGGTAGCAGGAATGGGAGTAAGGAGGAGACGGTTTTGACAAAGATTTTTGGCAAGCTCGGTGACGTGAGCAGGGGATGGAGGATGACCACTCTGAGAAGATTGACAGATGTAATTGACTATGCAGTCTTCTTCTTCAGGTGTCAGGTCTTGGAGGTGACAATGTGATTGCTCATGAGAGGAGGTGTGACCAGATAATCGGTAGGATAGGGTGGATTGGTTGACACTGAAAGCTCGTGCGATTGACTTTGGCGTTTGGGCGGTGGTAGATGTTGCTGTGACTCATATCTCTGAATAGCGGCCTCAAGAGGGTATGCTGAGGTCTGCATAATGGACAGACAAGAGATAGAAAGAGATAAACAACACATTCTTTAGGTGACAGGGAGGGACACGTCTAGAGACACATGGGACTGATCAGTAAGGGGGTGTGACCAGTTTCCGGGTGAGCCACCTTAGAAACTTTCTTTCTCTTTAGACGTCCACTTGGGGGATTCCGGCTTTGGAAACCACCCTGCCACAAATCCTGAGTTCAGGTGCGTACCTCCGGCGTTACTGAAACGCCAACCACGCAACGGACATGAACTCACCACTGATCAGGGTTACTGAAATCCCGTGACCTCTGATTGCTCACTCTTCTCTTACATTGTCAATGTCATTATTAGCTATACCATGTCATTTCCGGTCATTGTCCATGCATTCTCCTATCTATCAATGTCCAGGAGGATAATATGAGCCATAGGGATGTCCAGAAGACCCCTGGGAAGGATAGGGAGGCCAATATTGAGAGGATAGAGGAGGGAGAGTAGCGAAAGAAGGGGGCTCTCTGTTATGCCCGGCTGTCTTGAGGGAAAGACAGCAGGTGGACGAGTGATGAAGAGAGAAGAGTTGATGATGAAGTGATGTAAAAGGATGAAGAGAGTGTCACACCCGTCGAATAACTTCTCTCTAATGGACCAATGGTCGACAAACCTCGGCTAACTTGGCACTTCCGAGTCAATGTCTCACCCAACCAGGAGGGAGCAGACGTCAAAAGGAGTGTAACTACGGTGTACTTAGGCGTAGTTACTCTAACTAGGGTTTTGTTCTACTGATGGCGATGTATCTCAATTTGAATGTAGCTTAGCCGCACTTCGCCCAACTTCCTCCACTCTGCTCTGCCTCTCTCAGTCTCCTTCTCCTAAACTCGCCGTAGTTCTTCGCTAGGCGGGGTTGTCATGACAAATACCCTTTAGGTTCTTGCAACTTTGCCGTAGACGGTCTCAGTGGCTCGGGTGGTGGTTGATGATGGATAGTGGCTCGGTGATGGTGAAAGGAGGGTTGGTGATGGTAGTTATCAGGGATCTCACAACATGGTTTGTGACAATCTCGTCCAATGCATGATGGTCTAAGCCCTCAAGTAGGCACAGCCCCAATCGTTCAACTTACATTTGCAAAATAGCCCAACGTACCCAAACCCCCGAACACAAACAAGCAGGTCAAATGGTTCGCCTATGACAATCTGACACCGTTTCAAAGTCTGTATATGATCAGCTGAAGGCCGGTCTTATTGTCACTCTTCAAAACTGAACAGAATCCCAAGGGCTTGACTGTTTGGGTTAATTCCTTTGTAGATGGTGTCAGAATGGCTTTCATTAGCATATGTAGCAAAGGAGTGAACCATGTCTGATCAGTGCATTCATGACCAGCCCAATGGTTAGGAGCCTCTCTATTTTATCCTATGCATGATGGTCTAACGCCTCAATTGAGGCACGGCCCCAAGCCTGCATTGTACCCGCACAAAATAGCTCAGCGTACTTCACCGCTGCCACAACTACAAACGGCTCGATAGGTTTACCTATGACAATTTGACAGCCTTGAAAAGTCTGTCAATGATCAAATGCATGTTGGTCTTATTGTCACTCTTCAAAACTGAATAGAATTGCGAGGGCTTGACCGTTTGGGTTAACTCCTTTTGAGAGACCGTGAGATTGCCTTCAATTAGCCCCCTGAAGTTGTCCAACAGCAGGGGAGCGTGCCTGGTGCAAGGAGTAACACCAATGTGGGCTTAATCAAATTTGGATAGTATGGAATCTTCAAAACTGAATAGAATTCCAAGGTCAAATGGAATTGACCAGGCTCAACGTACAGGGTTCATTCCTTTTGAAACAGTCTAAATAGCTCGACGTACTCGCTTCCTGCGCTGCAAACAAAGAGCACAAGGAGTCTCATGCACCTGGGCTTATTCAAATTTCAATAGTACATGGAGCTTGAAATCAAATAGAAGCGACACGGCTGGACATACAGGGTTCATTTCTTTGGACACAGCCAAAATAGCTCAATGTACTTGCACCCCAGATCGATAACAGTAAGCACAAAAAGTAGTGTGCTACTGGGATTATTCAAGTTTCAATTGTACATGGATTTTGAAATCAAATCGAATCAACACAGCTCAAATCAAATCAACACAGCTCAACGTACGGGGTCCATTCCTTTTGAGACAGTCTCAGATTGAGCCAAAGTAGCCCAACGTACCCAAACCCCCGAACACAAACAAGCAGGTCAAATGGTTCGCCTATGACAATCTGACACCGTTTCAAAGTCTGTATATGATCAGCTGAAGGCCGGTCTTATTGTCACTCTTCAAAACTGAACAGAATCCCAAGGGCTTGACTGTTTGGGTTAATTCCTTTGTAGATGGTGTCAGAATGGCTTTCATTAGCATATGTAGCAAAGGAGTGAACCATGTCTGATCAGTGCATTCATGACCAGCCCAATGGTTAGGAGCCTCTCTATTTTATCCTATGCATGATGGTCTAACGCCTCAATTGAGGCACGGCCCCAAGCCTGCATTGTACCCGCACAAAATAGCTCAGCGTACTTCACCGCTGCCACAACTACAAACGGCTCGATAGGTTTACCTATGACAATTTGACAGCCTTGAAAAGTCTGTCAATGATCAAATGCATGTTGGTCTTATTGTCACTCTTCAAAACTGAATAGAATTGCGAGGGCTTGACCGTTTGGGTTAACTCCTTTTGAGAGACCGTGAGATTGCCTTCAATTAGCCCCCTGAAGTTGTCCAACAGCAGGGGAGCGTGCCTGGTGCAAGGAGTAACACCAATGTGGGCTTAATCAAATTTGGATAGTATGGAATCTTCAAAACTGAATAGAATTCCAAGGTCAAATGGAATTGACCAGGCTCAACGTACAGGGTTCATTCCTTTTGAAACAGTCTAAATAGCTCGACGTACTCGCTTCCTGCGCTGCAAACAAAGAGCACAAGGAGTCTCATGCACCTGGGCTTATTCAAATTTCAATAGTACATGGAGCTTGAAATCAAATAGAAGCGACACGGCTGGACATACAGGGTTCATTTCTTTGGACACAGCCAAAATAGCTCAATGTACTTGCACCCCAGATCGATAACAGTAAGCACAAAAAGTAGTGTGCTACTGGGATTATTCAAGTTTCAATTGTACATGGATTTTGAAATCAAATCGAATCAACACAGCTCAAATCAAATCAACACAGCTCAACGTACGGGGTCCATTCCTTTTGAGACAGTCTCAGATTGAGCCAAAGTAGGTGACTGAAGTTGACTGACAGCCCTGAGATCCCTCAGTCACAAGCAGTAACACCCACCTGGGCTTATTCAAATATCAATTGTACATGGATTTCTAAATCATATCAAATCCCCACGGCTGAACATACAGGGTTCATTCCTTTTCGGACAGTCTCAGAATGACTCTGAAAAGGACTGAGAACAGTTCTGACAGCCCTGACATCCCTCAGACACAAGGAGTGAACCATGTCTGAACAGTGCATCCATGACCAGCCCAATGGTTAGGAACCACTTCTTTTTGTCCAATTGTTACGACCTGGCTAACCAGCACCAGGCCATACACTGGCCATGCATGTGACATCTTAAGCCACTGCGCTAAAAGGCACAATATCACAATCAGCCCTATGATTGCGATCCGGTTATAACCTGATGTCACAACTGAGGTCGCAGGGTTGTGACACCAATGCATGACGGTCTAACCCCTCAATTGAGGCACAGCCATCAGCGTTAGGCTTACTGTTGCAAAATAGCTCTGCGTACCCAAACCCTAGGACAAAAACAAGCAGGTCAAATGGTTCACCTATGCCAATCTGACACCCTTTCAAAATCTGTATATGATCATCTGCATGTCGGGCTTATTGTCACTCTTCGAAACTGAACAGAATCCCAAGGGCTTGACCGTTTGGGTTAATTCCTTTTGAGATGGTGTCAGAATGGCTTCAATTGGCCCCCTGAAGATGTCTCATGACAGGGGAGTGTGCCTGGTGTAAGGGGTAACACCATTGTGGGCTTAATCAAATTTGGCCAGCATGAAATCTTTGAAACTGAACAGAATTGCAAGGGCTTGACCGTTTGGGTTGATTCTTTTTGAGATATTGTCAGAATGGCTTTAATTAGCCCCCTGAAGTTGTCCCACAGCAAGGGAGCGTGCCTGGTGCGAGGGGTAACCCCCACGTGGGCTTAATGTCACGCCTGCGGCTAGACTGCGGTAGCAAAGTACTGCCTTAGGTACTGAGGGGTTTTAGTCTCTGGCTTGTAGAGCTTGATGACTGCCTTAGATTCTGAGGAGACTGAGATGTTGGGTTAGAACCAAGAAGAGTACTTTGCGCACAATACGTTTTCACTTCCTGCACAATACTGCCACCAAGTCACGTGATGTTTCGGGCTTATCAGTCAGAAAAAATGCCACGTGTGTGTAAACCACCACGATCTAACATCTTTTCATTCAACATCAAAGTAAAACTTCTTTATAATCATCACCCGCAGCTCACAGGACATCACTTACAGCCAAACCTACAACAGAATCTGAACCAGCACCCAAATTGTCACGAAGTGACAAGACAGTTTGATAGTGATAGTGATAGGATGGGTTGGGTATTTAACCAGCGACCGGCGGTATGCAGTAACCGCCGGTTAATAGGCCTTTTAGCACAGTGGTTTAGACCACTGCCTCTGAAGGGCACTGTTATATCGTCCCAATGCTGGTTAGTTGGTCTCGTGACAGATTAACCGGCGGTTACGGGTAGGATCCTGGGTTCGACTCCCAGGGTGGGCTGGGTCAAATTCAGTCCCTACTTGGAAAACCTCCCTCTCGGAGAAAGTTTTCGGCCTATCGTACCCTTCCCTGTTGGGGCCCCAGATGGGGCTGAAAGGGAAGGCATAATGTCACGAAGTGACAAGACAGTTTGATAGTGATAGTGATAGGATGGGTTGGGTATTTAACCAGCGACCGGCGGTATGCAGTAACCGCCGGTTAATAGGCCTTTTAGCACAGTGGTTTAGACCACTGCCTCTGAAGGGCACTGTTATATCGTCCCAATGCTGGTTAGTTGGTCTCGTGACACAAATTCACATCAGAAAACATATAAGGATACCTCTTATACAGAGTTACATGTTGCTCACTGGCCACTCGGTATGTCTGTCTCCCCCTCCCAAGGTCATAGCTCATATTTTCAGTCTTTAAACACCAAATCTCAACCTAAATCATGTCTGCCTCTCAAGCTATCGAAATAGATGATACTTCCAGCGATGAGGAACACCAGTTCAGCCTTCCACTGTCCCTCCCTCCCCTCAAACTTGAGCACAGTGAATCCATCGTCTTAATACCCGAAACTCAGCAAACACGTTCTCCTGATCCCTCTTCTACACCTCTAAGAGAGATCAGAGAAGATTCAAGCCACTCTGATCTTCCCGTCCCTTTATCCGCTCAGTCAGATCCAGTTGACTCTGAAAATCTCTCACAGGACGATGAAGAATTGACCCTCTTTGATGAGGATGAATTTGGTCCACATGAACGTCTTTCCAACCTTGTTCACAAGTCTCTACGCCTTCCCCCGCAGCCAGATGTTAATACAGCTCGAGATAAATTGTTTAATATAGCAAAAGACAAGGGTTTTGCATTGGTCACAAGCTCCAGCAACCAAAAACTTCAATAGATGTTTTAAAAATGCGTATGCAGCGGGGAATATCGTTCAGGACATTCCTCTCAATATGATCAAATCCGCCAGCGTCAGCCTCATACTCAGAAAACAGACTGTCCCTACAAGCTTAAGCTATCCAGAGTTGACCAGGAAGACACTCTGGCCAATGGATTTCGTCCTGTCCTTCTCACCACGATATGTAATAATCATGACACCCACCAGTAAGAATTTACTCCTGTCACACCTTCGAAAAAGTTCCCGTACCCCTGAAATCAAGAGACTACTGCACGAATACATCGATCAAGGCTTTAAACCCCACCAGATCATTGATCTGTTTGAAGAACACCCCGATAAACCCCTCCTGACCCCTGCAGATGTAGATAACTTCAAATGGAGGTATGAAAAGAACCGTCAGGAAGGACGAACTGTGACTGAAAGCCTTTTTATCTCGCTAGAAAAGAAGAAACAACTTTTCAAAGGCTTAGTCAATAGCCACCACGAAACTTTGGGTTTGGTTTACACAACTGAAAAGGCTCGAGCTTTACTACACCAATACCCCACTGTTCTCATGATGGACTGCACCTACCAAACCAACCGCTATTGTCATCCACTGCTTCATATTACTGGTATGACAGCAGCCAACCTCACTTTTACTGCAGCGATTGCTTTCATTGATCGAGAGACAACCGACTGGTATGACATCTCTATCAAAAGACTCCTGGAACTCATGGGGCCACTACCTCGTTGAATTCAGGTCGTTATAACCGACAGAGAAGTAGCCTTAGCAAACGCCCTTCAAATTCACCTCCTCAATGTAAAACAGCAACTCTGCACATGGCATCTACGAGAAAATATCAAAAACACCTGTGATAAAGCAACATGCTTTAAAGACGAGGAGGATCCTGTAAAAGCAAGATTGCAGTTTGGTGATATGTGGATGAATGAAGTGGTAGCTGCAAAAGACGAATTTAAGCTTCAGCAGGGGATGGACAAGATATGTCTTCAATATTTAAAACTTGCTCACGCCCCTGCAGTTTGCTACCTAGAACGACTTCTTGATTCAAGGGAGAAATGGGCCCATGCTTTTACCAACAGAAATCGTAATCTGTACCAGCACACAACTTCTCGCAATGAGGGTGAACATCGGGCTTTAAAAGACTACCTAGAGACTCATACAGGTACTCTCTGGCATGCAATTTTGAAGACACATCATTTCCTGGAGAAACAGTGGGATCAGATTACACTGCAAGATGGTCAGCAGCGACTGCGAGCTGCTCTGGGGGACAGAGTACTCAGTATTATTTGAAGAGATATCTCAAGATTCGCTGCTAGCGAGATCGAGCATCAAATTCGACTTGCTAGCAAGCTTCTTGGACAACCCAATGCGACTCATACCTGCTCAGGACGCTTTTTAGCTTCGACAGGTTTGCCCTGTGCTCATACAATAGTCGACATCATCAAGCAGGACGGTGTCCTCACAATAGACAAGATACATCAGCACTGGAGACTGCTACCACACAACGGGTTTGAAAAGCTCCTTGAAGACACCAATAACCACAGTCAACCAACTGCTTTTTAGGCCACTGGTGTCTACCGACTTGAAGACGAATTCAAGGCCAGGGATTCATCTTCAGATCGTTTTGTCCTTGATCCACCTATCAACCTTGGCCTTCGGGCTGGTCAGGCCATTTGGGCCTCTGCATCACAGTTTCCTCCTTCTTAGCCTGCTACCCAAGCCTCAGGAATCACCATAGTTCGTCCTACACCAATGTTCACACCTCCTGAACCACCCTCTACTGCTTCACCCCCTCTGAAACGATCTAGAATCTCAAAAGCTTCAAATACTGGCCCCACACGGGCTACTACAGGTAGAATCCTCACTCAGGCCAAGCAGTCTACTCCTGCACGTCCTCAGCAGCCTAAGTGTGACCTGTGTATCAAGCGACATGCAAGTAGCTACATGTGTGGGGCTAAGAAAGCCGTGGCGGCGAGGGAACAATTACAAGCTAGGATTGAAGCAGAGGTTGGAAATTCCAGGGGAAGGACGATGAATGAGGGCTCTGTGATGACACAGAGGCCTGCAGAGATGGTGAGGACAGCCTCTGAGATAGCGGGGACACTTCCACCAGTACGCATTACATTGAAATCTGTCCTACCACTTCTGCTGGCTGATCTATGAATGTTCCCGGCTGATTCATGCAGATAATACCTAAATATCATGGTTATCCCTTCTATCCTTCTCCCCACTTTGTCCCAGGAGCTCCTGGGCCCTCTAATAATCACCAGAGGCCACCTACCTACCCGCCTATACCAAATTACTCAAATTTTCCACCTGCCTTTTGACCACCTGTTTATCCACCACCGTATGTTCAGGAAGGACATGGAAATGGCTCAAACTTCGCAGAAAGGACTGTCCTAGACGCCAGGAACAGTGATATGAGACAGGAATTCCCCCCTGGCGAGTATAGGCCAGGAGAACAGGATTTCACTGGCGGACAGAGGGGTTGAAGAGGAGATGATGTATTTTGGTGAGTTCTTTGCTTTTTTAAGTAAACTCTTCTGGTGCTGATAGAGACAGATTTTCTCTACACATCTATGCTGTTTTTAGAAGAGATGCATTATGAATATTGGACAGAAAAAAAAGACAGGTTCATGACTTTGACGTGTGTGCAGAGAGGTGGAAGGGTGGTCCGTGCTTTGATACACGTGGCATTGTTTCTGACTGATAAGCCCAAAATATCACGTGACTTGGTGGCAGTATTGTGCAGGAAGTGAAAATGTATTGTGCCCAAAGTACTCTTCTAGAACCGACTGAGTGACTTATCAAACAAGGTTAAGAGAATTGAAAAGATACATTGCTGAAGAAAAGAAACTATGTAAGAACTATATGGGGTGTATATCTATGTCTGAGTCCATTCTGGGATGTGCGTCATCCTGCGTAGGAAAGAGTCGTGATTCTCGATTGCATGTGTATATTGAACCATGAATCAGAAAGCTGCGTGGTCTTTGCGACATGATGTGTACAATACACTGTTGACCACATGCTGAAGCATGTATGACAACATAAACCGCGATTTGCCTTAACTTTAACTAAACTGAAGTCTTTGGTCTAATGCCATACCAGGCAGACTAACTGAGGATAACTTAGCTAACTAAAGGTTCAGGTCTCTAGCCTTGAAGGCATAAGAGCAGAACTAAACATGAAAAAACTAATACTTGGCCTTTCTGCCTTGTGTGCACAAGAGCAGAGATGTCAATTCATGACACTTAATCAAATTTGAATAGTATAGAATCTTCAAAACTGAATAGAATTCCAAGCACTTGACCGTTCGGGTTGATTCTTTTTGAGGCAGTCTTAGAATGGCCCTGATTGACCTTGCAGAGTTCATCTGCAGCAAAGGAGTGAACCAATTTCAATAGTACATGGATTTTGAAATCATATAGAATCGACACGGCTGAACATACAGGGTTCATTCCTTTTCAGGCAGTCTCATAATGACTGTAGAAAGCCCTGAGTGTTGATCTGACAGTCCTGAGTTCCCTAGGGCACGAGTAGCAACACACACCTTGGATTATACAAATTTCAATACAACATGGATTTTGAAATCATATAGAATCGACACGGCTGAATGTACAGGGTTCATTCCTTTTCAGACAGTCTCAGATTGGGCCAAAGTACGTGACTGAAGCTGACTGACAGCCCTGAGTTCCCTCAGGCACATGCAGTAACACGCACCTGGGCTTATTGAAACTTCAATAGTACATGGATTTCGAAATCAAACAGAATGGACATGGCTGAACGTGTTGGAATCTTAGGAATGCCACGTCGTAGTACCTTTGTAACATCGAAACTTCTCATCTCAGTACCTTCTCCAGATGCATCAAATCGTCATGTACAACTGAACGTACCGGGTTGATTCCTTTTGAGACAGTCTCAGAATGACTCTGAAAAGGCCTGAGAACAGTTCTGACAGCCCTGACATCCCTCAGGCACGATGAGTGAACCATGCCTGAACAGTGAATCCATGACCAGCCCAATGGTTAGGAACCGCTTCATTTTGTCCAATGCAGGATGGTCCAACCACTCAATTGAGGCACACCCACAAGCAATCAGCTCACTTTTACAAAATAGCTCATTGTACTCAAACCCCGGGACCAAAACAAGCGGCTCAATAGGTTCACTTATGACAATCTGACACCCTTTCAAAGTCTGTATATGATTAACTGCATGTTGGTCCTATCGTCACTCTTCAAACTGAATAGAATTGCGAGGGCTTGACCATTTGGGTCAATTCCTTTTGAGATGGTGTCAGAATGGCTCTAATTAGCCCCCTGAAGTTGTCCCACTGCGGGGGTGCGTGCCTGGTGCGAGTGGTAACACCAGCGTGGGCTTAATCACATTTGAATAGTATAGAATCTTTGAAACTGAATAGAATTCCAAGAGCTTAACCGTTTGGGTTGATTCCTTTTGAGATGGTGTCAGAATGCCTTTAATTAGCCCCCTGAAGATGTCCCACCACGGGGGAGCATGCCTGGTGCAAGGGGTAACACCAACATGGGTTTAATCAAATTCGAATAGTATAGAATCTTTGAAACTGAATAAATATTTAGTCAAGCATTGGCGTAGTTCGGCACATAAGTGTAACTGTTGAACGTGAGGAAACCCCTTGAGGTCCATCCACCACAACACATTAAGGGGGATTGCGAACTATGTACGGTGTAGTTCTGTGATTGATCCAGGTTCCTGCACATTATCGCAGCACGCCGGATGAGAACACTTAGCACAGATCACTCCTAGTAGTTCCTCTTTAACCTCCTTTATCTCTTCGTCCTTCTGGATTCCAACTATCAGATCCATGGGGTTGATAAGGTCATTCTCTTTTACCTCTCTCGTCCCTTGTAGTGCTCAAAGGAGGTGGCGCAACTCGGACGTGGTGGCGTCAACTTTGCCGAGCTTTGGTAGGCCTTGAATAAGGTTACTCTCTTGTACCAAAGTACTTCCTTTTCCTGAGTGATAATCCGCCCGTCTGGACAGTTCGTCTGGAAGGCTTGCTTGAGTTCCAGGCCAATCAACCATTTTAAATCTGAAGTTAGCTAACTCTTCTGCCCACCTACCTTGGTGTGAGCCGAGCTGTTTTGGTTCCATCCAATAGGTGAGATTTAGATGGTCGATAAGGACTGTGGTTTCTACCTGTAGCAGTAAGTGCCTTCTTCTTTGGAAGCCCTCAACTACAGCAAGGAACTCCTTTTCTCCTACCTTGTAATTCAATTGGGCCGTGTTGAACACGCCTGACTTGATGGCTACTGGGTGTTCTTGACCAGCTGTATTGATCTGTGAAATTATGAAACCCCAGCCGAAGAACAACACATCTGCTTGTAATTGTCACGGGCGGGGTCTAATCCCCAAGGGATAGGCAAGGTGACTGAGATGGGGCTGTAACCCAATACTTGTCTCTGGCTCGCAGAGCTTGAGGAGTATACGGAGGTTGACAAGGGACTGAGGGAACTGAGGGAACTGAGGGAACTGCAAGATGTCAGGCTGGATCTGACTGGACTGACAAGTTGAGAATGAGATTCAACAAGAGATTCATAGGTGGGGAACAACCTGTTTGGAGGGGGTTTATATCCACAGCAAAACAGGCTGAACTGCAAAACTACAACAATAAGCTACGGAAGAACTGCTAAACATATTTGCAATCCTCTTCAAGAGAATTGGCAATCCTGACATGTGAAACTAAGAACAATAGGCAAAGGACCCAGGGGTCCAGGGGTAACTGTTACAGGTTCATGTGTGCGACAAGGAACAATAGACAGAGGACACAGGAGTCCAGGGGTAAGTGTGTCAAGCATGTGAACACACAGGGAAACAATAGATTAAGGGCACAGGGGTTCAGGGGTAGGTGTTTCATGTGCGGGAGTGTAAGAGATGACAATAGGGATTGTTGATGGAGATCAAGAACAATAAACCTAAGCCAAAGGGGGTCAGGGGAAGTGTTCCAGATGTGTTTCAAGTGTGGGAACACGGGAAAAGACTATCTTAGGTGGCAAGTAGGTGATGTATGACAGTAATATTGTCTTCAAAGTAGGATCGAAGTGAGCTAACACCAGCGCAGTACACATCCTAGCCATTAATTCTCTAAAAGCTGACTCCTATTCTGCCCCCCACACAAACGGCGCATCCTTCCTTGTTAAGTAGGTGATTGTTGTAGCAATCTTTGAGAAGTTGGGCACAAACCTCCAGTAATAACTGACTACTCCAATAAAACCCCTGGATTCTCGTAGATTCTTTGGGCGTGGGAAAGATGTGATCGATTCCAAGGGACACAGAGGTGAACTTGGTGGATTGAAGATCCTGTTTGATGTTTTGGCGGTGGAGTTGCTGTACGGACAAATACTGCATCCAATACGATTTTGGGCGATTATGTGGATAGATACCGGGTTTGTTGACAAGCATGTTGGATGTTTGATGTGGAAGAGTGCCTTTTGCCCATGTCTGCTTGAAGATCATGTAAAAGATAGCTTTACTCATTTCAACCTCGTCCATCCCAGGCAATGGAGATCTGGGTGGTGATTGTTGTATAGTGTGAAGAGAGGGGAGTGAAAATACCACCATCAAGAGGCTAAAGTCAATGTGCACTATAAAGGGGAAGGATACTTATGGTGATCCGCAGGGAGTCACAAAGAAAAAATGAGTAGTTGACATGATTAGAGTGTCCATCTACTTATCAAAAGTCAAAGCCGGAGGTGTTTGAGTGAGGTAGTTAGTTTCAAAGTTCTTGGCAAGCCATCAAAAGACCAAATCTATCGTCCGACTACCTTTTTGGTGAGGCCGTCATGAAAATATTGTTGTTTGGTAGTACTTCAGCTGTCCCAATTTTCGCATACTTGACGGTAGGTACCCTTTTAGATGAGGGCAGGGGGAAGATTAGTACCATCAGAGCAGATAGCAGCAATGAGGGTGTGAGGAATTGTCAGGAACCGTCTATACGGGTCTTTGCCGGATCTGACTTGATTGCTTCCTCCAGAGGCATTATATGTGTTTTTTCATCTAGTTTGCCCAATGAATAAAGCCCTTCTCTCATCCATGTCAAAGATCCCTTCCGGGTCCAATATTCAGTTCAGTACATTGTCTCTCTAGCTACCATCATCAGTGATTCTTCAATGAGGAGAATAGAACCACCAGACTCAGTATATCAAAGTACTCTTCAAAGATTGCTGTATGTCACGATTTCTCCATCCCATATACCTTCATACACCCAAGTTTATCTTTGTGGCAATCAATGAATCGAGTGGCACTATATCAAAGTACTCTTCCAAAGATTGGTCGTTACTCTGCTGTATGTCCATGATTTGTCCATCCCATATACCTTCATACACCCGAGTTTATCTTTGTGGCGATTGATAAATCGAGTGGCCCTATATCAAAGTACTCAGTACTCTTCCAAAGATTGGTCGGTACTGGTACTCTGCTGTATGTCAGTGATTTCTCCATCCCATCTCATATACCTTCATACACCTGAGTGTATCTTTGTGATCGAGTGGCCCACTTGCTAGATATACCTTCATACACCCGAGTTTATCTTTGTGGCAATCGATGAATCAAGCGGCCTTATATCAAAGTACAAAGTACTCCTCCAAAGATCGGTCGGTACTCTGCTGTATGTCCGCGATTGCTCCATCTCTGTCAGGATCACGCGATCACGGGAACCTTACCTGGTAGTCGTAATCCATTTCCTGTTCCCGTCTCCGTCTCACATTCCCGCTACCGGACTTACTCCGTTTCGTACCACGCCTGGTACCAATCCTTTGACACCACTCCCCTTTTTTACATCTCCGTCTTGGCAACTATCATCGTACTTTCTCTGCTATTCTACCTTGACATCACTTCGAACTACGTATGCTCTTTATCGGTATCATCCCGCGCTCTTTTTAGTATATAGGACGTAGTCTTTTCTCAGCAATGTCTTGTCGAATGTATTTTGTGTTTCCTTAGTTATATCATTTGACATACATCTCATTGATCTTACCGATCTCTTTGATACACTACATTACTAGGTTTGTTCCCTACAAGGCCCCATTGTCACAGCTCATCGACGCAGACTATTCCGACGTCTGGTCATTACAATCTCATCCCATATACCTTCATACACCCGAGTTTATCTTTATGATCGAGTGGCCCACTTAGAAGGCAGGGAGGGTATCACAAATAATATATGTCAAGTGGGCCCACTTGCTAGAAGGCAGGGAGGGTATCACAAATCTCATATGATTGAGTGGGCCCACTTAGAAGGCAGGGAGGGTATCACAAATCTCATATGTTGAGTGGGTCCACTTGGAAGGCAGGCAGGGTATCACGAATCTCATATGTCACGTTGTGCAGAATAGCACGAGTGGGGTAATGTCGTCGTTTTTCCAAGGGTTCAAGAAATTCGCTCGACAAGAACATCTTCCTGATGTTCATTGTTGGAACGTTCATCAGCAAGGAGGTCGCACAATGATCTATCTATAGTAATTGCAACTTTGAGTGGTACGGACAATGAGAACAGCTTCCTGATGTTCATCGAGATGTGCATTGTTGGAGCGTTTATCAGAAAGGGGATTGCACAATGATCTATCTATAGTAATTGCGACTTTGAGTGGTAAGGACAATTGTTGTGTTCTTTGACTATCACAGATGGCTATCACAGAGAAATCAGGTATGGAAGGTGGTGTAACTTTGTGACCGTTCAAGGAGTCCAGTAGTCAGAGACTTGTGAGGACATGCTTTGCTGTATGCACGAGATGAGAATGTGAAGAGATGGTGAAGAGATCAAGGGTAAAGTGTCAAAACGGATGAATTTGGGGTGTGCAAAAGTCGTGTCTACCGTGCGTTGCCGTCCGCCACAGGTAGTTTACTCACACACCCATGCTTGGTACTGTGGTATTATGATGCATGTGGACATTCTCTCTCTGTGATGGGCACAAGCTCCCAATCCGTGGCAGGTGAACAGGTCCACTCGATCAAGCAGCTAGGCAAAAGTGACCCCATGTGTCTTGTCCGACTCGTCTCGGGTCACATTCCCACCAGGTGACGTACCGCTCGCATTTCTTCCTCAAACACATTGTGCTCTCCTCTTCTCCCTTTCCTCGCCTGTTGGATCCTAGCCCTTGGCCCTGGCTCGTCACCCTTGACGCTCCTCCGCCGACGGTCGACGGGATGACATTGTGAATCCGAGAAATCGATGATGGTCGCTAGACCGGATGCATGAGCATGATTGGGAAAGCGTACGTGTCGTCGTCCGACATCACCGTGAATGACACCGAGAGAGTGGATAGCGGCGTACGACGCTAGGATGGTTTCGGCAGCTCTGCGAAGTGCGTCAGCACAATCACAAAAAAAAAACATGCGAGGACCAGAACAGAATGATCAGGTGAGGGACAACGATGAGGACACTTCGCACACTCACCGCCTGACCTCATCACCCTTGGGTTCACCACCTAGATCCTCCATCAGGCATACCCAGACATCACACATGACTTCCCATGAACTTGATTCATGTCCGGTGCCGAGACGTACGAGCTGTCCTCGATAGACACCCAACCAGCGGCCTACACAGTCTCCCTGCAGCGGCGAGAGACGGCTGTAAGCTTCCGTCTCGCGTCTCACGGCGGACACAATCTCTTGCTCGGTCACACGGGGGATCCCACGAGGTCGATCATACATGGGGTCAGGCGAAGAGACCTTGGCGACGAGGCGGGTGGACGTGGGCGGGTCGGAGGAGCGCGACGAGCGGGAATGGGCCGAGGGAGGAGACCATGACGGTCCATGACGGGAAGGAGGAGACAGAGAGGGACGAGATGGGATCAGGGTGGCAGAGTAAGAATCCCAGATCCGACCGCTGTTGACGTACGGCCCGAGGACGACCGGGGCGGTTGATGTCGAGTCATGATCCGAGTCGGGGGCGACAACAGAGAGAATGCCGGCTTTGAAAGGGAAACGGGACGTGTCAAAAGGAGAGAGGGAGAGATGGATCGATGACTGTGAGTCAGGTATGCGACCGACATGGCAAGCTGCTACGCCAGGTTGCGAGACATAGACGGTCAAGTACGCAAACGATGGGAAATTAGGTGAAGAGGTGGGGACCTGCGACGAGACAATAGATGGAGGGAACCTGCATACCGGAATCTGTTTGGGCCACTGAGAGACCTCTTGTTGTGTCGAAGACACGGACGAATCATCGCTCACTGCGGGGGAAACGGGCGACTGGCGGTCAGCGTCGTGGGGCAGCTTTCAATGGGACAAGAGCGTGAAGAGCAAAAGGTGACGGGACACCTGCAATGGCAGAGAATAAAGAGGACCGGTCGGCAGCTGGTCTGTCTCTGTGAGGGCAAAAGAAATTTGTGACTCACATGTTCCAACTCGGAATGCTCAGGTATATCGGTCCAGATTGCCCTCGTCTTTGTGAACCGGTTTGAGGCGGGCGAGATCAATGATGTCAAAGAGCGCAACGTTCGGGGTGTCTGATGGGTCAGTAGAGATTGAGCATGCACGGAAGAGTTGAAGCAAGACTCGCCCTGCTTGACCTGTTTCGAGTGTTGTGAGCAGGCGGATCACGCAAGATCGGGTCCCGTTCGGTTCGCCTCGTCTATCCGGTCAGTGTCTAGCCTGGCTGTTGAGAGGTATTATTCGTCCACATCATGAACGTCTCCGGGTGCAAGGGAGATGTCAAGCTGTGGACTGTGGACAAGGAGAGATGGATAGATCAGTTTGACCGTCCGTCGGTGGTGGTGTACGGTGTGAGAGTGTGACTGGGGCGAGTGCGCCAGGACGATATTGAGGCGAGTGCTGATTTCTGACCATGTGAATATGGGCTTTGGAGGTGGAGGATGGTGAGGTGTGTCAGGGGGAAAATAAACGTTCACGACGTACTAATGCTTCATCACCATCCGACTCGCCATGATCATCCCTCCCACTTTGTAGCCCTCGTGCACCGCCCCGGCCACCACCACCACCGCGTCCATGAACCGCTTGGGCAATTCGGTCAGCCCTCCCAAGATTGACGTCCCGACAGTGGAGGATCAACGCGAGCCACAGTCCGAGAGGTCGATGTACGAGCAGTGACCTCGGTTCGTCGGTCGAGCGGGAGAGGCCGAGGAGACGGTAGAAAAACGTAAAAGAGTGGGGTCGGGGTCGAGGAAGATGAGGAGGCGGGAACAAGAGACCGAGGTTGGTGATGGGTGCACTGACGAGTATCGTACCCAACGTTTCAGACCGTCGGAAGAGGAGGTATGTGTCTCTGTCGTGGAGAACTATGTAGCGGTGAGTCGACTTGTTGAACTCGTTGGCTATCTGATGTCATCAGCGTCGTCACGCGCAGCATGGCACCATGGACCGTGGGTTCAGTCTTGATCAGTCTAAGGGCTCGTGACGAATCCTTGGCGACAGTGAGGTCGAGAGGGAGGGAGAAGGAGAGACACAGAGGGAGTGATGACAAGGACGGACATATCCAAAACATATCCAAGAGGCCGGGAGATGCTACGAGACAATGTGCGGGCAGTGAAGAGAAGAGACCTTGGGGACGGGTGAGAACAAGTAGCCAGCAGAGATGACAGGTCCGAGGAGTGATGTTGACATAGGGGAGAAAGAGAGACCGACCTGAGTCAACGTCGACCTCACCCTCGCCTTCACATCGTCCCAATCTTCCAGCTCCAGACCGCCCGCGTTGAGGAAATCATCGTCCAGTTCGGTGTGGGCGTGATCGGGAGATAAACGACGGATGACGTTGAGGTGGAAGGTGCCGGTGGAGCGGAGGGACAGGTAGACGGCGGCGGTGACTCCTGATAGGTGAGATGTCTGGACCGACGCATTCTTCGGAGTCTGAGTGGGGAGAGCGGACGTCGAGCAAGAGATTCTGGCAGAAGAGAAGCGTGGGTGGGTTTGAGGGGCGGAAGAAGAGCACGAGGTGAAAAGAAATACACGAGAAGGGTGCAAGATCAGAGAGATGGAGAAGGGGTGGATGAAAGCAAAGAAGGACATACCTCGTATAGCTCCCCTGACTTTACTCTCAATGGCCCAAGACGGTCCTCTGGCAGGCTCATCATCTTCCTGCTCTCCGACCACATGTTGGCCGCCGCGGTCATGGGCTCGATACCGCCAGACAAAATCGCATTCTCCCGAACGGCCTGCCATCTGAGGCGACCTGAACCTGCCCGAGTGGTCGGGTGCGTAGCGATGGGCAATGTTCTCGGCGGGCTGTGGTCAGCCAAGGGACGTCGGGGGCCACCACGGCACTCACCAGGTTCAACCACGTCGTCGTGTCCAGATCCACATCATTCTCTGTTGACACCGTGGTGAGAGGTAGAGCGTCGTAAGGCTGCCTCAAGGATGACTTGCACACCCTTCGATGGAGACCCTTTGTCGCTCCCCACGGCCAACACCAGCACCAGAACCACCACCAGGTCGAGCAAGGGCGAGGCCAGCTGGCGAGGGAGTCCTCCAACACGGACAGACTGTGATCATCGGAGGCAAAGGTGACGGCGGGGACGCGCAAGCGGGAAATGTCGACACTGGAGACGGTGGTGAGGCCGGACAGGGCGCGGACGGTGTGGTCGAGGGTGCGCCGGGCGTCGTAGTTGCGATGTGGTGTGGAGGGGGACGGTGAGGGTGAAGAAGAGGATGATAGAGAGGAGGAGCAAGGTGGGAAAGAGGTAGAAGATGACGGCGGAGAGGATGGTAGAGGACATGGGGGGGTGGGGGGGGGGTGTGCTGGGGGAGGGGGGTTGTCAGTGACGGTGGTGACGGTGACGGTGGTGACGGTGGGGATGACGATGAGGGAGGATTGGTCGGGATTACGGCAAAAGGTGTCGAGGTGAAAGTGGCAGTCGATGAGCCGAGTGTATATCCGCGTGGTCGGTGTTACTGAAACCCCGGTGGTACGTGAATGAATGTTTTGAGTGTGGCAGGTGGTCGGAGTGGACGTCTAGGATGTGGCATGTAGCATGTAGCATGTAGGATGTAGGATGTAGCATGTAGCATGTAGCATGTAGGATGTATCATGTAGCATGTAGGATGTAGCATGTAGCATGTAGGATGTAGCATGTAGCATGTAGGATGTAGCATGTAGCATGTAGCACGTAGCATGTAGGACAGTATATGGAGGACAGTATATGTAGGACAGCCTCACTATTCCCCTCTTTCCTCTTTCCTCTTTCTTCCATGCTCCACCCACCCTGTCCTGAATGTGCTTCTCCCTTATACCGACCTCTTCTATCTACCTTGTATGCTTTGCTCATCCACACAATCTATCTCAATCGCCTCTCGATAACCTGATATCTAGTCAATTGATTCCTTCGTCCACCGAGAGGTATGTCCACTCTTTCGTCAAATCTCCATCCATACTCTTTATCACCCATATCTGACTCTACCCTGTCCGAGATGTAAGTACTTGACCCATATCTCATATCTGTTTCTCTACCCCGTCCGAGTAATAAGTATCTCGTGTTTAGTAGACTCATGTGAACTTGAGACTTTCCCTTCTAACTCTAGGCTGCTAGGCTGACGACCAACTTTCAGAATAATCATCAAACATGTTGTTTCAATTTCCACCTCGGATTTCTCCATGCCAGGTTTTGGGCTTTTCCGACTAAAGGAGAGGTACTGTATGTGGGTTTATGAGCTCTCGATCTTTTGGTGTTATCTGACTTTTTAAGATTTCTCTCCGTGGATGGATGATATATCTTTGTTCGCGGGTTTTCATTTTTACCCTCTCTTTTTGGCGTCGCCTCTTGTTGGAGGTATCCCATACGGGGCATGGAGCTTCTGCTCCTTTATACGACTTACTCGGCGACATGGAGATGTGGGAGACGGACGTATTGTCCCATGGAATGAGCGGTAGATATGACCAAGAGGGACCCCTTTACAGTGTGTTTATTATCCTCAACGTGTAGAAGACCTCCTTCCCTATCCTTCTCTTTCATCTCCCTAACAACTCTAGCTTCTTACCTATTTTGAACTCGCTCACATCCCTAGGTACATGGTACACCTGTAATTTTTATTTCGTGGCTCACGGGAATTTTCACTTCGGTAGGTACTTTTTTCTTCGGTGGGTTTCTCTTCATCTCCTCCCGCCCATACCACTTGATCCTCACAATCCGAATAATCAACGACATCATCATCATCCAATGTCACAAATACTGAATTAGTGTTATTGTTTTTATGACGACGACGTATCTGACAACATAGGCATAGGGACTAATATTCGGTTTGGTGGTCCTGAGTCGAATAACATGGTTGATACCATTCCCTTTTCAAGTTGCGTATTCATTCTTTCCGTCATCCCATTTAATCCCGATCTATACCATGGTATAAATAGTGAATGATTCCTGCTGACAGGTAGAAGTCTCTCATATTTATACTATCGAATTCACCTCCTCCATCAGACCTGATCACTCTTTCACCGAATCGTTACTCCTGGGTGGAGATACACTGTCGTACAAGATCATATGCTTCATTCTTTGTACTTATTAATGTGGCAGACTTGTGAGCTCGGCCTTGGCTTTAGATCTATCAGTTGGAAAAGGATTGTTTTTGTGAGTATCTCAATCCTTGTTCAATACTCCCTGTCTGTCTAGATTCTTTAGTATGTCTACACCTATCCGTCCAAATCGCTCATGTTCATGGTGATGTAGCCTACAGTGTCGATATCCCAATCATCGCCTCAGATTCTCTGCCGAACCGTAATGACCACAATGAGTCAATTTCCCTCAAATCTCTCCTTACTTTTTTCCTCACCATCCACCACTATTGCCTAGACTCGCCTTCCATCCCCATGAGAATAACTTTGGGAGAGAAGACTCATCGTCCCTGTGGGGGCGTGATCAACATCTTTCACTATCGTCTCCTCTACGGCGTCTACGGGCCTCCCCGTATTTCGTGTTCATGAGGCTATTTTGGCAAGCTATGAATACTGCATGTGCGTGATACTTGATAACGAAAACAAGCACGAAATCGTGTTACTGACTCACCAAAAGTTTGACCAACCTCATGGAATACCTAAATCCGTCAGAGCCGACATTCTTACCGGCTGTCTTTCCCAACGAAGACGACTTTTCCGGGAAGCTGCATCCATCTTGTCCTGTGAAGCTCGTGTCTTACTGTCGGTTTTTGACTTTGTCTACTTCTTTTGATGTATCCTGTATCCTCCAAACCTTTTGAGACAATCCCGATCCGATTCTCCTGCTCGACAATAATGTCTGCGTGTTTAACATCTCCGCAGCCGATTTCGACCATGACTCATGGGATCATTCCAGTACGAACGCGTTCTACGGACCCAAGGTGGACAATCACGGAGCGCCGGTGGTGAAGATGTCGGCGGCACAGGCACAGGCAAGTTAATGCCGACTCAAAAAAGACGGTAGAGGCATGTTGATTATATCATTTCAAGCGTCCATGATGTCGCTGGAGAAACACCAGTTCGATACCGTCACCGTCTTCTTCCAATAAGGATCAATGGGTGGGACGCAGTTGAACGGTTTAGGAGAAAAGAAAGGTTAGAAATGGGGTCTGGCTAGTCTTGCAGAACCGCTGGGATGTGGTCGATATGATTGAATGTTTTGATAATCTTTCTGGGATAAGCAATGATCCAGAGGAAAACAGGAATGAGGGGCGGATATCGATCTAGGCCCACGGATTGACAGCTTAGGATTCATTGATCTTAGTGTCTGCTAATCATATCAGCTGATACATCCTCGAACCGTGTTCGATCGTGATAATTTACTCACAAAATAGTCATCATGTCCAGGCTATGATATTAGTAACTAATTCTTACTTGTTACTTTCGTATCATCGCATTTGGGAGTGAGCAAGGTCACCAGTGTACAATGTTAGGTCCCCGCTGCCAGTTCTATCTTCCAACAAGACTTCGGGTAGCTAGCAGAAATTAATGTTTAAGGCAACGTGGTACAAAGGTTCATGAGAATAGGCAAGGCAGTAACCGGTGGGAAGACCAGATAGATGGGAACTGATGTGGATCTATGTGGACCAAAACTCACCGTGTTCAAAACACCGCATGAATAGAGAGAAAACCTCCTTTTTGATCGACTTGATTTCGGTCCAATCAACATTGACCGTCTGTCTGCTCGTGCTTGTGCAAGTGAAGTGTCGATTCGCTACAGAATACGAGCATACCTGAAACGATTGTGAGCTTTTTTGAAACCTTCATCGGATTCATCTTTTCTCCTCAAGAACTCATGTTTTGATACGAAGCAAGATGACTGATCCGGATCAAAAGCAGACATCCACTCCTGATCAATTGCAGAGGAAGAGGAGAGGTAGTAAAGGTGACGATAACGAGTACTAAAGGGGGAAAAGGTGAAGGAGTTGGATAGACAAAGATGACACTCACGTCGATGACTCGAGCACGACCTTTTAACCTTTTTCAACGTTCCTCTTGTACAGTTTATCACTGGAATCTCAAAACGCTGGCATCTCAAAGAGGACCGAACGACTTGAGATTTCCGTTCCTGCTGCCTGTTTGTGAAGACGTGCACCGATGGATTTCCCCAAGGGTCGGTCTCCCATCATAACTCTGACACGTTATACCGCTTGAGCTACGGTTGTGAGTCGTCTCACAGGGGACTGAATGAAGGTACGAGACCCGAGTTGTGACCGTATAGCGGTGGGGTATTTTTCGATCGATTCCATCGTAGGATAGGTGGAACATTACGATAAGCGTGATCAATGGAAGGTAGGATGATTGATGAGACAGAAGGTCAGGGGAAAGAGAGGGAAAAGGACATGGGGTTTGAAGAGGGGGAATACTGAGATGATGAAAGAAAGTCTAAAGAATGACCCGCATGAGTTGTTGTCGAAAACAGACATAATGGTGGAGGATGAAGAGAGGAATGTCCGGGTCAAGCGTTCTCGACCAAGTAAGTGATCCAAAGTTGGAACCCCGAATTCATTCCCGTGTCAATTGCCGAACTAGATAGTGATGTCTCCAACATGGATCCTGTATATCCTGAACAAAGCCGTGAACGAGACCCAGATGGTGAGAGAAATGACTAGAATCGACCGAGAGGGGAGATGGATGATATTGAGACGATGGGTGTACGTTGGATAGAGACGAGGGTCCTGCCAGTGATAAAGTACTTTGTAATGGTTGTCAGCTGTAAATCAGTGTTCAAGCTGACAAACTTTCAAGGACACGTACTGGATTTTGAGTCTTGACCTGTCGCTCAAGGTTTCTCACGGGTTTGATTATGAGAAGACGTTTGCACCTTTTGGGAGAGCAGGATCATTCAGAGTATTATTGACGTTGACGGTGATGGGAAGACCTAAAATTCAGACAAGTCAATGTCAAAGGGGCGTACCTAGTTACTAGATCTTGCTGCTCATTGAGCTCCTGTGAGCTGTTCCATCCATGAAACAGGTTACCGGAGTTGTCGTATAGTTTGTATGGTCGTACAGTTTGTATGGTCGTATAGTTTGTATAGTCGTATAGTTTGTATAGTCGTATAGTTTGTATAGTCGTATAGTTTGTATGGTCGTATAGTTTGTATAGCGTATAGTTTGTATAGTCGTATTGTTTGTATAGTCGTACAGTGTGTAAAGTCGTACAGTGTGTAAAGTCGTATAAGTGATAAATGTAGGCGTGCAAACGTGTAGGCGTGCACGTGCACTGTCAAAGAAAACAAAGAAAACGCTACGTTCTAGGGAGGAGACGAGAGACAGACAAGTGGAAAAGTACCGGGTCATGGGAAATGAGGTCATGGTCAAGCAGCCCACAAGCCCAGTTGCCAGTTGGACGTTGACATGCGTCAGGAGGAAGCCGCAAAGGTGAGTACTCTACAGTCTAGGCTTGGGTATCACGTCAACCACTCTGGAATAGAGTCAACTTTTTCATTGCATGAGACCGTGAATCTGTCGTGTGAGTCAGGCCAAGTTGACAGTCATGGTCTTGCACTGTGTTGGGTGTTGTCAACATCTCGGGAGGGAAAGACGCCAGCTGGAACCTTGAGGAATGGGTTGGAAAGGGTCAAGTAGCCTTGACGGAGCAATCATGGAACGGGGTTTTTGTGATATCATCAAGTCTGTATGTGAGCGATTTCTTCTTTCTGATCTCGCCCTACATCCTAACAGATGAAAATGAGAGGATTTCAAGGTGAGGAGGGTGAAGAGGAATCAAAGTCATGAGAATAGGAGAGTCAAAGGGCAATGGTAGATAGACGATTGTGACGGTGTGCTAATTCACTCAGTACCTAGCATCGAAACCTCTTCTGCTGGATCCACTGTGCATCATTCTGTACTCATCCCCTCGGGACGACCGTCTGTCCAATCCATTCAAGTCGGAAGGTACCTTAGCGGAGACGATAACATCTCAAGACAAACAACCCATCACACCACCTTTGCGATTTCTTACAGATCAAACTCGTCTACACAGATGTGACCCCAATTCGTAAATCACAACAGCACACTCTATCTCCATTGCCTCATTTAGAAAGCAAAGGTCAATGAAGGAATACCTCTGCGAGTCGTTGGGAAGGAGACCTTAGCGTTTTGTTTGAGAGGGATGTTGATGTGACCAGGGGTCAATCAGGGACCAATAATGTTGGTCAACTCGACAAGATCAAGGAGACAGTGGTCACTGCTGAGGGATTGCGAAATTGGAGCTACGAGGAGGATATCGAATGTTACCCAATCCGAACTTGAAAAGATGAGAATCGAGTTCAAGCTCGCCATTGAAGATCAACAAGTGACAAAGATCAAGCTCGAAGCGAGAACGAATGAGCTTGTGAAAATCGAACAACAGACTGGGAAATTTTGGCACTAACGAATCATTCCACCACCAACAAGTCGAGTTTGACAGAGAAGCAGCCCGACGCCGTCGCACCAAATATCAAACTCAAACTCAACCTCACCAATGACGACTTGAAAATTTCCCCATCCCAATCGCTTTCTATCCCTTGATAAAACCCTCGAATGTACCATGGAGAGTAAAAACTCGACTTGGAAATTCACTCGATTCAGTGAAATGATTCACTTTTTGGCTCAGCAAAAAGCGTACGCACACATCTATCGACCAATCGTTCTCAGCTTCAAGATCGTTTGGAAACATCTGAAAGAATAGTCATCCTAATCCCAGACCTTCGATGTCTCTTGAAATATCATGGACATGGACCACATTTCACGGCGACTCATCTTCAAATCTGAAGCTTTTGGGCGATCGATCTCGATTATATCTTTGCCGCGTTTACGTCTGACTATGAGGATAAACTCAAAGGCTTTGGATGACTGTTTGACAAAGTGGCTGAAGGCGCTTATTTATTGGCAAAGGGTCATTTTACTGTCAAGACTGATGGAACGATGGCGTTCTTTAGAAACTGAAAAGGAAATAGAATGCTTGGAGAACCAGAGAGGCCAAATGAATCAAAACGAACAAGATAAGGCTTACAAGTCAAAATCATACGAATCATTCGTCATCTAGAAACTCAAACTCGTGTCAGTTTGATCTCAGAGTTGAAAATAACAACCACTCAAACTTGGCACCAATCGGGTAGGTTAGGAGTTGAGAGGTTGATTCCACCTCTTTGAGATCGAACGGACGCGTGTTTGAGTCTGAAGTAGATTGGGGGTTTAGAGGATAGAGAGCATAATGGAGAAGATTTTGAAAAAACTGGCCAATTGGCGTCTAATCTCAAGGGTTTGCTCAAGGATTTTTGCAAGATATGCAATATGTGAGATTCCTAGAGAGAGAAATCGGGTTTTTGGATAAGGTAGCGATGAAGACCACATTAATTGGTGGGTCGGTTTATTTTTCCACCTTATTCTTCTTATCTTTGAACTGCCAAATCGGGCATCCCGTGATCTCTATTCCGAATCGGTTGATTTGTGGTCGTGGGGTATGTGTGGGGAGAACCCGAAGTCTAAACTCTGTCGCATGCCTTTCAGTAGAGATTGTGAAGAGGGTGTAGAATGTGTTGACCAAAGAGTTCAAAGTAGTGAATGGTGTTCAAAGTGTAATGTCCGATGAGGGAAAAGGAAAATCAAAGAGACGAACAGAAGGTATCGTTCCGTACGAGTGACATTCAAAGGAAAGAACTAATCAGTCCCTCCCACTCACTTGCCCCGAGTTGAAAGTACGATGTGCCCGTGTGGAAAAATCAACGGGAAAGAATCGAGTTTCTTGAATGTGGACTGACTCCAACAGAGAAATTGAGTGATAAAACCCACCACCTAGCTCGGAAACCCCTCTACCTCTACCTCTACCTCTTGATCTGCGAAAAATACCAATGTTCAAGACCTTCGGGCCATCAACGTCAATGGTCCTTCATGGGAAATGGAAAAGATGTACTGGAATGTTGTCCCCGCACCAAAGCCCTCTCATCGTATAAATACACCTTTCCACCTCCTCAATCCGTTCACTCTTCTTCTCATCAATCTCAAGCTGGTGTTCATCCCGCATTCGATTCTACCAGCCTGGATCAGTCACGCGTCCAGCTGGTGCTTCCCCCCCCCCCACCCAATCCAGAGAACCTGGATCAGTCCCCCGTCAAGGACTACTCCTTCACTGCCTATCACGGCAAGGAGAACGACGATCGACACCGAGCTTCAACTCCTTCCAGTGTTATTTCGGCTGACAGGCGAGCTCTCACCGCTCCGGCGCAAGACCCTTGCTCTCCTCCGATGCCAGAAGTCTTCCTTCGCTCCTGCTCCCCTCAATCTTGATGGACTCAATGTACTACGAGAGTGATCGTGACCTGCTCAATGCCTCACTCTACTCATTTCAGTGGTCACAATCACGACCTCCTCACAACTCCTATAGCCAAATACTGTGATACAATGGCCCGGCTAGCCATAGTCAAATCTACCTGTACAATCATCCCACCAATCGAAGGATAATCTTTCGCCCCTTGTCTCACCTCCGGAGAACAGCAGGCCTCCACTCTACGTACCCTCGGATGGTACGGTGCTATGGTTCATTCCCAAGCTCTTGACAAGACAAAAGGCCATGGGTACAATCAAGACTGTCACGCCTTGGTACCATTTGGCCCTGTCGGAATAGTCAGGACGTAGGATCCTCGCCTAGGTCTGGATTAAGACATGGAATGAGAAAGACCGACATATAAAAGTGAGTCTTGATCGGTGTATGAATTGATATGATCTGATAGGAAGATTCATCAATACTCTCGACGACTTTGCCGAAGATTCTCATAACAACGCTGCTCAACACGCGCTCAACATGTCCCGCTTTGGTCACCACTTGGAGGGACCTGACTATAACCTTGATGCCTCTTCCAAGTGCTCGGAGTCAAGTTCATGCTAGAGAAAGAGAAGGACGATAATTTCAAAAGGTGGATTGTTATGTGATGCCATGGGGTCTCGGAAAAGTGAGTGCCGATGATCAATTTCAATGTGGATAAGGGACTGGCCATAGACCGTGTACTCTGTCCGAATACTACCGATCAGAGGTAAGTCTTCCCACCCCCGACATTACAGTGCTGATTGGTAAAGGTTCAGGCTACCCTCTGAACCTGCAAGCTTTGCAAAAACAAAGAGATAAAGCTCAATCCATGGAAGGAAAGCGGAGGGGAGGGGGGGGGAAGGATGATGAGGATTGAAGAGTAATGAAAAAGAGGGAAATGGAAAGCTATTTGCATGTCATATGGAGATCATTGAGCGAGTTAGAATCCACGGAAAAAGGAACGTCAAAATGTATCTCGTCATGGACAATGTTCAAATTTTAATTCGGTCCTCTGTAAAGGTGAATGATTCCTCTGCTCTCATCGTTGTGGCCAGATCTGACGAGCATAGAAAAGCTTGGCATGCCTGTTGATCATATTTCTTGGCTTAACCACTTGCTCGTCACCCATATCTCATCCGATAAAACCCTGGCAATGAAGATTGTGTGATCAGCGACGACCAACTCATGGGTATGGAGAATATTGCATTGTCTGCGAAAGGCTCGTCTGCCTGATCAAACAGCGATCATCTTCAAGCTTGGTGACCGCGACCGCGACGTCCGTAGATTCCCTCGGCATGCGTCCCCGTCGCTGACCGACAGACCAAAAGAACCACCGCCCGGAAACCACCGCACATGGAGGAAAACATTCCATCAGTGTTGTTTTGGCTTTTGAGGCTGATACGATCCCCAAGCCGCTGCTCTCATCTCGACCGCCGACACCATCTTTGGACGCTATGTTGACCTGAAGATACGTCAGTCAGATCCGCCCGTCCGCAAGCTTACGGAGTTTCAGGTATCCAAGCGGTATATGGGGGGGGGGGGGGGGGGAGAAAATCCTGGACAAAAAACTTTTGTATCAAACCTGCAACTCTGTCTGTGACCCTCAACCCCGGGGGCCGAAACAAAACAAGCGCCCCTCTCAAATTAAACCTCGTTCAATCGGCATCGTAAAGTGGGAACGCGTGATGCTTTCTCTTGCCGTACAAGTCGCCCGATTATCTCACCACGGGATCAAAACTTATTTTACCCTCCTTTTAAGTCAACACCGTCCAAGTTTTCTCCAGGGCATTTGCTCCAAAATCCCAAGCCCGCGGGAGTTTTACTCATCCAAATAAAACAAACGGGTCGTCGAGGATGGGTGAAGTGGGGGAACGATTGATATAGCTGTGTCTTGGAAAGAGGGAACCGAATTTAATTGTGGATGAGAGTGAAATATCCGTGAGTTTCTTGTTCTGGATCGTTGTAAGGGTTTGTACAGTCGCTGATAGTAGCCCGAACATCATCACGCCATCGTCATTGTTCTCAGCCGCGGAACCATTCATCTCATACCTGCCACAGTTAAGATATTCCTTCCAAAAATCAAGCCTGACGATGCCGTGGGGTTTCCTCACCGACAGCCAATAACGAAAAGCTCAAATTGGATCCGAATCATCGAGTCGAAGCGCTGGAGAGAAAGTGGTTCATCACCTGTCGGATCAATAAAATGATGGCTTCGAAGGCCGCAGGAGTGCAGGCGACCTTGTCTAATAGGATGGGATGGTGGGGTATGTCCTTTACGATAATTGGAGTTGTTGGGAGTTTTTGAGTTGCAGAGGTTGTGTCAAGGAGGATGATATGTACGTAAGTTGCTGTTGATTTGATTAAATTAAATGACAATGCAGATGGTGGAAAAGAACATGCATCGGAATCCAACATGTCTGTGGACTTGACATACTCCCACTCATAAGCAGTAAACGAGTGATGATTTGAATGAGGTTGAATTTGATTATAAATACAGCGGGAAGACAATACAGACTAAGGGGCAAAAAGTGACGGAGGAGGAAATATTGTTTGGGGCCGATTCCATGTCCTCTCTCACATTCCTCACACCTGCAACTACCATCTTCCCCTCTCTCTCTCTCGTTTGGTTCGGCAGGAGATGTCCATGGAAGAATTCATCGACTTTGGTATTCCATCCGCATCAGTGCATCATCCGATTGATAAACTATCTGAAGTCTAGTCTCAGATCTACAGATACAGATGTGGAGATTTGAAGACATGTTGAGTTTGATAGATCTCAATCAAGGTCACGTCTTGCCGCCATCCGAGTTGCCACGGATCAATTTCAGCCATCCAAATAGTTACAAAAAAGCTCAAAAGAGGTCAGCATCAATCACGAAGATACCGGAATACCGCTGCAAGTAAAGAACCAAATATCGATATATCGATATGGAGTTTCAAAGTGAAAGTCCCAAATCTTCATGTCTATCATTGAGCATGAACGAAATAAGCCGGAAAAGTGAAGGTAGAAAGTGGAACAATGTTTTAACAGAAGAAATGAGTACTGTGTGTGAGTCGATTTTACTAAGTCATCATTCATGAAAACTTTTAGTGTCTTTGAGATCTGTTCTTGTCTCGCCCTTTGAAAGAGAAGAAAATTTGAAGAAGATGAAAGTTTGGAAGAGATGGATGACACTAAGGGGGATTTCCCTTTTGGAAGAAGAAAAATGACATTACGATGATTTTTCAACTTGATTCTGTCCCGTGTTCAGAGACATGAATGAAATAAACCCAAGAGGTGCTTATATCAGTTCTTTAAGCTCTTCAAGTCTTTCTTCAGGATTCAAGAACATGGGTCAAAAATCGTTTCTATAAAACTAAAAGATGTAACAAGTACAGTTAGTTTCCCTTAGGTAGATGGAAGTCACAAGTGAGAAAAATCAATCCGACATGACGAGGAAACATAGTGATTTGGAGAGAATGAGAATGAAGAATAATCATAATCCTGAAGAGATATGAAATAAAAAAACAAAATGAAAAGGTGGTGGAAGATGGGTAAGTTTCTTTTTTGTTATGAAAAAATCGAGTGGTTGGCCAACCTGTCAAATTGACAGGGTGCGTCTCTAGCCTCTCAAGCTAACTGCGTGAACCCGTGAAATCTATCTATATCGTCCCTTGGTTCATCTCCCTCTGTTCACCTGCAAACTCGTGGTTCGTGAACCCGAATTGTGTCTATCTCCCTCTTCTCACCTTTATCCTCTCGCTTCGGCCTGCGAGTGTCGCCGCTAAACCAAGTGGTTTATCCCCCCAAGTTGTCTCGACATCATCTGTTATTGTAACAGATAGAGTTTTTCGAACAACATAAATCCTCAAAAGCTTTTGAAGAATAAGAATATGTTGATAATTTAGTCAAAAAAATCCCATCGTGTCTAACCTCTTCACCTACAATTTCGAATCAATCATTTACCCAAACTCCCACTCGATCAATCATTCGTTTAAACTCTCGCTTCATCAACTCGACTATCTACCTGAAGTCCCAATTGAGGAATTCAATCTCTGTATCTATGTGTTTAGTTTGATAAGATGGGATGGAGGATCCAGGTGGGATACCATGAGTCAAAGACTATGTTGGAAACTTTTGAGATAATGCATCAGTATCGGTTTGTGACATGAGAGAACACATAGTAAAGCATCAAGAAATTGGTTAAGACAACTCGAGTCATGGGACCATGAAACGAAAAGTATGAGGAATTATCGGGTTTTGGATCATGGACCATGAAGATTCACTTGAAAATATCACGTCGAGTATTACATTAATCTCTTTCCAGTGTTGGCCAACTTATCTCTGGTTTCCGCATAGAATAAAACCAGTGGAAATAATGAAATGTCGATAGACTTGCAGAATTGGATTTCGAAGATCGGTGATTGATTTAAGAACTTTGAATTTTCAATCGATTGCCTTACCTCTTTCTGCTTTCAGGGTATCTCTTAGAACCATTAGCATCAAGATATCTCAAGTTTTTGACCACCAAAGTTGAGATGCCAGATATTAGAGTACGGGTAGGTGTGTGTGTAGGTGACAATAATGCATGCCCGCAGGGAAGTGAAAGCTTGACGTACCAAAATGCATCAATGGACTTACCACAAATGGACGATGAGATTCTTCTTGAAAACATCCTAGATGAGCGACGAATGTGTTGTGCATCAAGTAATTTGGAAATGCTTATAGAGGGAAATACACTCTTTAGGGGTTACCCCACCACCGGGGATGGTGACCACTCTCAAAGAGCCCAAAATAGTCGTCGTCTCACCAATTCGCCAATCGTATATCCCTGCTAACGATCTTTTTACTACCGGCTGTGAGTCAGTATGAGATACTGTAGATCTCATATGATGGGACTCACCCCTATGTGAAGCATTCACGGAAATACTGATATTAAACAACTCGGCAATCAGATATCCTACAACTGTCGACGTCAGCATTCCTTTATACTAGTAAGCTCAATAACTCAACCCATGTACACCACGGCCTGTTGTTTGATTGTCGTGGCTACGCGCCTGTTGATCATTTTGTACATAGACTTCCCGTCGGGGACTTGCGGGTATAAGTGATCATATCATATCCTGAGACAATACACATGCCCTTGTCTTATGCATTGGGGGGAAGGGAAGAGGTGAGGAATGAAGAAGAAAAAGACAAAGAAGAAAAAGATAAAGAAGAAGAAGAGAAGAAACTCACTCAAGATGAAACGAGGTAAGACCATCTCTTGCCTCTCCAGAAGTCACCTCACAGGTTCTAGGTGCACGTACACCAGAGAGTCCACGTTCTCCGGCCGTTATGACATCGTCCCTCCGTGTTCCAGTGGACCAGTGAGTGCGACCTTGAAGCCGACTAAATCTGAGGCATCCTCAACGAGTCGCATCCCACCCTATGCTGATCCATACAACCAGAGGTGAAGAGAAGCGAGGTCTTTGTTCAAAATTTCCAACCAAGGACACTTGTGGTCTCTGTGCAAGTATCACATTCACTTGGTGAGAGTGAATAGGTGGGATGCTTCAACACTCAAAGCTCACGTGAGAGTCAGAGAATCCATCACAATTATGTGGCCTATTCAATTCATCGATTATATCGTGTATGTTATCAGGACAAACAATCTGAAGGTCAGTCCCGTTTGGGGATATGTACGGCAAGAAAAATGTCTAAGCTGAGTGAGGGTATGTGAGAGAAAACGTTTTGACAAAATGTATATGTAGCACAGAGAGTGGAGGGAGGAAGAGGAGAAGAGAGGGGCCGCGGGAGGGGAGAACGTATGAACGGTTGCATGATCGCAAGAACATGGTGATGAGCCGTCTGAATTAAAGCAGAGTGCAAAGGGAAAGTGGGGAATTTTCCTTGACCCAAAACAAAAAGTGAGAGGAAAAACTCACCAAAGTCCATGGACCTACACATGTTGCGTGGGAAGACTGTTGAAAACATGAGACAGAGACCATACTTTTTATGCGCTTTTTGGTCAGTCCATGTAACTCTCTCTGTATGTGATCAAAGCGGCTCTAGATCTTTTCAGTTCACTTACTTTCTCGGTAGAGAAGCGATGTGACTCTGGTAGATGGACATCGTCACTTCAAATGTCTTTCACAATACCGTCCAATTCCTGTGGATGTTTGTTCGAGCCGGGGTCAATAGAAGAAAGTTCCTCAACCTTAACGTGGCGAGGTCAAGGCAAAAAGCGGGTAGCTCTGTCTGAGTCCACATGACAGAACACGGGGATAGAACGTGGAGGTGATATCCCCTTGTTATGTGATGGGGCCAGAAGGTGGGTGACACGAGGGTTTGGTGTGAGGAAGAAATGAGCTTGTACATGATGTTTTCAAGTGAGACATCGCTCCTCGGTATAACGGAGAAAGTGTGAAACGGGTGACCGTGGCAAGTCAGATACATGAAGTACTTACATCTGAGGTTCTCCTTGTTGTCTTTAGTACACTGTATCACATGTGATTTCAATTCCATCATATCCGTTTCATCTGCTCTACTTTTTCCTTTGTACAAATTCATTCGAGATGATGACTTTATCATTGCGTCTTCCGATTGGATGGGACTCTTCGAATGATTTTCCTTTTTAACCGACCGATCTGATTGGTACTGATATTTGATGGCAAGAACGAAATGATACAATGGTTTTATCCTCTCAACAGACAGATCGACTCGTTCCAACTCTAATGGTATGGGGGAGTATCCTTGTCTGACGGTGGCGAAGCTTATCTGTTGATTGTCAGTCTTGTCTTGCTGCCCACCCGCGAGGGGAACTGTCTTTGTCATATATAGGAACGTGTACAGAGCTGTCTGGGATTTGGAAGCATCTTTCAGGAATGTCAACGAAAGAAGATTGAGATTGAGGGGAGATCGGTTGTGAGTCAGAAAACTCCGTCCCCATCAAGGAAAGTTGACGGGATCGAGCATTGTGAGGATGTTTGAAAAAATCCAGGCTTTCTCTCGGTCCGAGTGATAACAGACATGCTGACGATTGTAGACAAGATGACAACATCCTCGAGGAGAGATGGACACATGAGAATGAGGCAAAAAGAGGATAGAAAGGAGAGGGGAGATAGGGTGAATAGTAAGAGCAGCGCGAACAAGTTTCAAGTGGCGGGGTCAGCGGAACATGTAATGACTCAGAAGATCAAGCGGCAGGGGTCAGAAGGAAGAGCAGGAAGACCAGACATCAAAACAACAAGTGGGACGGCAGAGGAAGCAGTCGTACGAGCAAGCAGGAACATAGTCACAAGAGCAAGTGGCAGAAAGGGTAAGAAAAGAACGAGTAATAATGACAGCAAAGGATTAAAAGACAAAGAGCACCATACTTAACTTACCTGATTATTTCTCCATATATCTGATAGGACCAGTGACCAGCCTGGGTCACCACTTGCAACTATCCATTCAATCGAGAAAGAATCATATGTTCCCCAGTCAGAGTGATGCACCCCCCTTCTGAATCCTGTTTGTCCGAGTATGAGGTCGGGACCAGCATATTTCTAAACGTCAAAGGGTGAGTGAGAGGCAAGAACGTACGTTGGTGGAGATGGTCGGCGGGATCTTTGGCCAGTGCTGGAATGACTTGTGACGTCCTACCAGATCTTGAGCCGAAACCTTTACTTGCTTGCTTGATACGCTCCAGGATGTTGCTGCGAGTGGGTTTGGGGGAGGGGGAGGAGCAGATGATTCTCAGAGTAAGTACGAGTAGTGGACAAGGTGCAAAAGATGACGTCAAGTTGGTGCAGTGAACAGTAAGGTAGTGGCGGTTGGAAGGAATGTGGCGGTTGGGAGGAATGTGGCAGAAATGTGGCAGCTGGGAGGAATGTGGCGGTTAGCAGAAACGTGGCGGTTGGTAGAAATGTGGCGGTTGGAAGGAATGTGGCGGTTGGAAGAAATGTGGCGGTTGGAAGAAATGTGGCGGTTGGGGAAATGTGGCGGTTGGAAGAAATGTGGCGGTTGGCAGGAATGTGGCGGTTGGAAGAAATGTGGCAGTTGGAAGGAATGTGGCGGTTGGAAGAAATGTGGCGGTTGGAAGGAATGTGGCGGTTGGAAGGAATGTGGCGTTACCGTAAAGGGCCCCTGGCAACCCGGTTGGATTTCCCCACGGCCCGCGGCTAGTCCACTTCAAAATACTCCAAACATTTGCATGTTCTTTGGTCTTCAGGCCAGACACTTGCTGTCTGATACTTGACAAATTTCTTCTTGATCCATGAGCCTTGTCAAGACTGTAGGAGGTCTGAAAGACTGGCTCTTCTGGATCCCAGCCATGTTTCATGTGATGAGGTCATAGCAAGATTGTAAGGTGTGTAATCAAATAGTATCAAAAACGTTTCCAAGGTGGAGAGAGAGTCAATCGGGAAGTGGAAGTCCATGCATCACTATTTGTTGGGCTCATAGCTACTGACTACCTACTAGCAGAGTAAGCATAGAATCTCATGGAAGAAGAGAAAAGAAGCAGATAGGCAAGTGTCGTTGACGGATCTACAGGCGTCTTCAAGGCAGAAGGTTCCGTGACCCGTCAAGTTCCTCCCACCCTTCTACAAGTAATTTTCTCTACTCACTTCTACAGCTTGTTTCTATAATACCATTTTACTTACTTCTCCTGCTTTTCTCCACTTGGGGAGGGGCTAAGAAGGCTGCTAATCATTAACATGCACCCTATTCCACTCAGTTGACTATCTCTAACCTGGCTATGTATCCAATTCCAATCGTTTCTCTTGCTCGGAATCATGAAAACTCAGCTTCCTTTGTATCCGGTGGACTGTACAGGATCCATGTAGAGCTGGAACAGAAACGTGTTGTTGCCTCGAGGGGTCCTCACATGAAGATAAGTTTTGTAGGAAGCCGTAGTTGAAGCCAAGTCAAAGGCAGAAGATGATGGGTGCTTCACCAGCATGGCAATTGATGATTGTCGATATCACCGGTTGATAAACCTTCTTGTTCAGTGGAAACCAAGGTACTGTTATACGGCAGGACGCTGATTAGTCCTGGTCTGTAATACGTGTGTGACAATTAGCTATCAGAGGACTGACAGGGGTGACAACGATAAGATGACCTGGTTGTCTTTTTGCCTTGGGGTAAGACACAATCAGTTGATATCAAGAATGTCTCTGACTTATGTACAAGTAGAGAGTCATTCGAAGGATGATGATGACGCATAAGACTATCTACTGGGTTTACATCTATTGATATACCTACTAACTGGGTAAACATAACACACACTTCATAGAAGTAGGAAGAATGTGAAGATGGTGAAAGGGACGACACGGTTGTACTCTACAATAATGGGGCATATGATGGTTCCACGGTGGGACATGTATGTCCTGTATACACATGGTCCCCTACACCAACACCACTACTTACTAGCCATTAGCATATGTACTGCATAGTCATGTAGATGGTTTGAGGAAGGTGTCAAAGGCGCAATCAATAACTTGCAGTCAAACATATCTGTTATGTGTCGTCTCTGATATTGCTCCAGGCTACGCTAAAAAATCCCCGGCCAGATGAAAGAATTGGTCATGGGATACTTGTTAGGAAGGAGGATTGTTCCTATACCTCCAGGGGAGGAAGGCTGTCGGAGAAGCGTGAAGAAGATGAAGATAACTAATTTCTTCAACTGACGGAGCATGGTGCGTGCAGGTAAGTGAACCTGAGACTTCCCGGCCCACCGTAGATTACTGTGACGATACGTACAATAACCTACTCGTAACACTGCTACTGTGCATGTCCCAATCTCTGTTTTCAATGTGAATATACATATGTATCAAAGATGACATGATGTCATGAGCCATTCTCTTTTTCTCTCTGTACATACAAGACTCATCAGATTCCCTCCTCTCCACTTCTAATTTCGGAAAAGCCTCTTCATTGTTGAAACTCCCTTCCCCCTTTTGTCATTTCACCTGCCTAGCTCCTATAGTCAGATATTACCATCTTTCCGTCTGGTATTTGTTCCAGTCTGCAGCTCTGTGTCAATCTCCATTCTCTCATCTTGCCTGTCCCTAGCCCCTTTCACTGAGACCATTCTACCCCTGCGATCTGTTCTCCTCGCTCGGTACTGGTTGCTTGTCGTTCGCAAGAACTGCTTCCAGATTCTTTCCTACTTGACCTTATGATGCTGTTAAGGAGATTTCTAGACCATCGGCAGCACCATCTACGGGGGTTACGGGGGTCGTTGAACCTGACGATGGTGCCCTACGGGGGTTACAGGGGTTGTTGGATCGGACGATGATGCCAAATCAATCGCGTCGGCCCCCGGGGAGCTCCAACCAATACAGGTACCAGGAGTCGGAGCCAGAGTTGCTGGTACTTGCTTCTTTCTGACAGTCTGTCAAGGCTGAGGTGGCGCCTTCATTGCCCATCTATTCGTCTGCTTGCTCGCTGTCGTGGCTTCTTCTGTCTGTCCACATACGCATGAGAATCATCATGACAGCTTGCTAAATGACTCACATTTGCGCCTGAAACTCTTGTCGAATTTTATCCTTACTAGGTATCGCTCTTTCCTCAACCTCCACAGTCTCTCTGTTATCAGTCCTGACTCGAGTTGACCAATCGACTTGAGGAGACCGTCATGGTTTTGACCTACATCGATGTTTGCGTCTCGGATGTAAGACGCGGCGAACGATAACTCGTGGTCAGTACCGATACCTCGCTCTCTACAATGTAGACAGGCAAAAGGAGAGAAAGAAGATGCATACAGTGGGGTGCGGGAAAGGATCACGCTTCTTCCTTCCATCGATAGCAAGCTGACCGAGAGCACAGTGGAAACGGTGTGGAGGAGAGTGGCGTGGAGGGGTGTGGTGTGAAGAGGCGTGGTGTGGAGGGACCGAGAATGTAGATTCACCCTTGAGGAACACCATGATTTGTTATCCCCACTTTGGTCCTCCGCCTCCTTCCATGCCTGATCGGTGTGATGACCCCTGGCTCTGCGCCGAGGGAGGACGGTAGGAGTCCACGACATGTCTCCCGGATGCACTTCCTGATAGACTGAGCGATGGGGTAGGAGGTTGGCAGGCCGGGACAGATACCGGACAGCTGATAGTCAAAGATGAAGACGAGGGCATGTGAGGGTTGGCAGCAGGCGTGGACGGGGTTGAGAAGAGGGTGGACGAGCAGACAGAGCCAGAGACGAGAATATCCCTAGAGTCGCTGGCACAGGCTTGTGTAAACACGGCTAGAGCGGAGGAAGAGATATGCAGCCGGCCGCACCGTCGTAATGAGATAATGATTGACGAGGTGACGATGTGAGTTGATGAGAGGGACAGAAAGTGATGAGAAGGGTGGGAAGGGCGTGACCGAAGAAGGATGTGGAAAGGAGAAAAAGAGAGAGAGAAGCGGGATGAAGAAACAAAGAGAAGAGGAGAGAATTCAACGTTATATATAGTAAGTGGTGGGGTGAGGTAGCATGAGACAGTCCCATGCGCAGGTGACCTCATCCATCCCCACTCCCGATGAAATCGAATGAGGGTCTGTGAATCCTCTCTTCTCACCCTGTGGTTGTTATTTTCACTACCTTAGCGTGATGTGAAGTCGGAATGACATATAGCCGTACGTATCTTGTTTGATCTTCCAGATGTATCATGTCCAACTCATGTTCTCCTGAAAGCGTTCTTACTTCCACTCCTCCCTCCGAACCTCCTCTTTCTTCTCCCATTCCTACTTTCTTCCTCATCATCCTCTTCCACTCCTCTCTCCGTCCCCGCTCTAAACTTCTCCCCGTTCCTCTACCGCTCACGTTACAACTTCCTCCTGGATATTTGTCCTTATCTTGCCCTCGTCCCGAAGACCGTACAAAGGACATCTCCATACCTCCATTCACTGTCCTACGCATGGCCAAAACACCTAGGGATTTTGTGTATACATATCCATATCAAATTCAAGCATCTTTTTTCTTAGGTTGTTGTCCCCATCTTTGTTGTCCCATTCTTGAAGGAAAGGAGTGAAATCTAATGTTCTTGTATGTATGATACCTTTGCATCTTGATAACATCTCCATCTACATGCTCCCATGGGACGGAACTTTCATTTTTCCCTTTCTTGACCGTTTCGTCTGCCAAGTTCATGAAAATCGATGGCAGAGTGACTAAATTCATCTTGATCAGGGTTGTTGCCAAAACATATCGTTTACCACAGATTTCCGAGCAATGGAGATAGTGTCAAGGATGATCGCTACATAGATAGCCGTGCGCATAAATCTGGTTACTATTAGCTATGATAAAAGCGATGCATGAGTAAGAACTCACCTGGTTACTCTTAGCTATGATAAAAGCGATAAAGAGCAACCAGGAGAGATGGCTAGAGGTATAGGGAGTGAAGGAACGTAATCTATCAGTCTGACGTGGAATTTCACAGATAGGACAGACAAACATTCCCAGAGAGGGGAGTGACGGGGGAGGTAAAAGGGGAGGACACTCACCATGTTAAGATCCCCACAACGTTGACACGGACTGGAAACATAATGAGGCAAACAATTGACCAGGAGGTTGGGAAGGAGTATTGGATTTGGTGGAATGTTTCTCACATACCTTTCTAAGAAAAGTTGTAAATCTGACCTGTAAAGTCAGTGTACTGGAAACCCGGGTCGAGGTCGACGGAATCCTATGGAAGTCTAGGTGTTTCTGGTGCTATATGATTTATTGTGTCTCCTCTGTAATCAATTTGGCCAAGGAATGATATTGAAGAATACCAACTTTGCTGATTGTACTATACAGTATGCTGTCTACCGATCTCCGTGGTCTCCTTTTCCAACTGCTGCAAGCGTCTGTGTCAAGTGGGGTTCAGGAGAGGACGGAACGCTGTCAGATCCACGCGTCCGCTATGACTTCTATGTATCTCCCGTTTATATGTTGGCCAACCTGTCAAATTGACAGGCCCGTCTCTCGCCTCTCAAGGTAACCCGTGAATCCGTGGCCTCTCCCACTGTTCTCGCATTGAGTAATTGAATGAGGTCAAACTTTCTACCTAGCTAAAATTAGGTCAACACAATTGATTGCAGAAAAGAGAAACTCGCTCATTCAGTACTTTGTCACGGAACCTATAGCTCTTTTCACTTCCTCCGGTCGACAATTTCCTGCGGCATTTCCCATCAACGTTAGTAACCAGGGTGAGATCTCCAGATGTGATCCTCATGGGATGTTCGTGTTGACCTCCTGGATCTCTCGCTGCTCAGCCGCCAGCTTGTAGCCAGCTCAGCAAGCAACCCATCAACACCCACTCCCAAGAAGAAGATGATGGTGGTCACTCGCCAATCTGGGATCCAGCATGTCAATGCTGGCGTTCCATTCGAAGACGGGTTTGCAGGAGTTAGGAAGCCGGGGATGACCATAGGGTCTGGTAGTAAGTAGTAAAGTAGTCAGAGAAACACAGTCAAGAGACAAATACATACATAGACAGGCAATCCCTATGAATCCAATGGTATCTCCACCTTTGACTTCACCCATGAGCTCCTTCAACATGTCACCTTCCTATCACACAACATTTGTACAATACAGCAGTGATCCGAGACCTGTCGAACTCCCCTGGTCCATGAGCATGATGGAGGAACGACCCTGTCGTGACAAGCACCACATCGCCCAGTCCCAGCAAGACATCGACATTCAATTGGGGAAAGCGAGTATACCCAGGCCAGCCGGAGAACTGGGTGAATATGGTGTACAGGTGAAGCCACAGACTCGATCCGTGACTAGTTGTCTCCCTTTTAATAGTCTAATGTATTGATTTTGCATGGGACACACATTTATTTACTGATATGTAACAGTGTTTGGAAGTAAAAACCTCCAACCCCTCGAATTCAGCCCCGAATGAACGCGGGAGACATTGAACAATGACGTTCCCGTGCCATTTCTACCGCTGTCATTGAGTTTTGCGCCTACGACTTACCTCTTGGCCGTGGTGGAGACTACTCGTCAGAAAGGTCGGAAATATCTTTCATCACCCTCATCGAGGCCATCGGACCGTCACTGTGTGGATGCCTTTTTCTTTCTCTTGCCCAGACCCTCTCCTTGATCCTTATCATCAGTGTTTGCCCAACTTTGTCTCACCAACGTGAATCACAAGAGTCAATCTTTGGTGAAATCAGCAATGGACGGAATGAGAGAGGAATTTTCCAAATTCAATTCATGCTTTACTCATTTGTCCACTCGCCCATTAGTCTCATCCTCTCCGTCCATGTCTAGATTTGTTTTATCATTCAATAATAAGATGAGAATGCAGAGGGGAAAATAGCAAGCATAGAATTCACATGTCTCATATATGCTTATGATACTCACTCACACTTAGCAAATCAGAGACGATTGAACAAGAAGAGGACAATAAGATCAGTATTGAGAAACATGAGGATCGTAACTGAGTATCACGTCGTGGAGGACAGAGGGGGGTAAAGGGAGACTCACAAATTTCACGGCAGTTGCCAGCATCACGTGAGGTTTCATACTACTTCTTGCAGTGAACTAGTTGAGTGTAATATGATATGACGTGATGTGACAGAGATGGAATATCAGAGAGAAGAGAGATGAAAGGGGATTCTTCGTCTACTCGAAATATGTGGTGAAATCTGCCTGGAGAACTGGCTTGAGGTAGGGAGGCGCCATGGAGCGGACGACCATTATGGCTTGTTGGTTTGTCATCATTTTTGTTCTCTAAGTTACCTGATTCATCAGTCAAAAGTTGACATCACATGTGCCATTGTACCCTGCAACAACAGTTTGCTATTTGAAAGATGCTTCTAAGTCTTACAGTTAGTAAACAAGCGAGATGAGAAAGTTGCCAAACTTGGAATGACCCGCAAACTGCAATTTTCCAAGGGAAACTAAAAATGACACCGGCTAGTGATTGTGCGCTTAGCATAAATTCTTCTACAGGTCACATCTTCCATTTGTCACGGTCTACTCCATGACGCTTCAAGGGGTGACGCCTTTGGTCCTTCACGTAACAAATACTTTGACACGCCAGAGGTCAAGTACGAGTATGGAAGAGTGAATGAAAGAGTGAATGAAAGTCATAATGAGAAAGGTGAGACTTACATCCACTCTCAGATCAAGGCCCACACAGGAGATAGAGGCGTACCAGCCAGAGGAGGGTGAGGTTCTGTTTCTGAATGGGCTCCGGGATCCCATCCGTGGCCAAGAGTATCGTGAGGGAAGAGGAGAGGATACAGAGAAGGTCTTAATTACGACTTTTCGTAGTACTAAAGTACGCCGTTTCCGAAATGATAGTCTTAATCACACCTTTCAGTACCAACTGGCTACAGGCATAGTCACAGACCACATATGATGTATTCGTCTGTATTCTCTGCATTTGATCCATCTACAGGAAGTGGCTGTCTATTGTACATAGCTAATGTGGCGCAATGAACCACGCCATTGCAGGGTTCATGTTTGGGGGGAGCCGCATGCAGGTACTCTTCTTATGACCATTCCTGCCACGGTTGGAGCATTTCTCCTTCTGTGTTGGACCAGCCTGGGTATGAGAGGACCCCCAGCGGATTTTTTCTTAATCCTGAATTGGCGAGATACCTGAACGCCCTCCAAGGTCAGTGATACGTCCATGACTCGCACGGATATCAGGGGGTCTGATACTGGTATCAATCGTGAGGTTATCAGTGAGCATAGGAGGCAGAGGAATTGAGTATGTTGCCATCCACCCATCCTGAGACTGAGCGTAGGCCACAGAGCTGTTGATCATCCATAGCATTGGGAAGATACGTGACTTACACCCTTGGGTTTCTTGACACAACACGAGATACTGCGATAACATGGCTGTTCTTGGTCAATCAGTCACTGATTGATACATAGGCATTTGTTCTGTTCTGCCTACTTGTGAAGGACGTATCAAAAAATTTGTATGACACAACTAGACCATTTATATCAATTTCACTATTCGGACCTCAAAACCACGTCTTGGACGAATTGGATCAAAGCAATACCTCTTAAGCTTCGCTTCCAAGCTTTACACATCCTTCTCCAATGCCAAAGTGGAAGAAAGGACATCAGTTGACTCTCTATATCAATATCGCCGTCTGACCCCTAACTGTTTACCAAGAGAAGTGAAAAAGCGGTTCATTTGAGGGATGTACAGCATCACCCCATTACACTTCTGGCCCGGGACCCCCTTGGCAACATTACTTGCTTTCTGGAGACATGAGAGCTGTACATCTGCTATCTTGGTTTTTGGGTGATTGAGGAGTTGATCTCAGGGATAGGAAATATCATGACAGAAGATATTTGACAAACATGTCATTAACCTTCATGGTCTCTTTGATACACCACATCAACTATGTAAGTTTGTTACCTACAAGGCCTCCATTACCGCAACGTCTGGCCCTGGCAATACAACGGTTGGGTGTAGAAAGAGACGGAGGACCAAAGCGAATATAGGGTTTACAGTCTTCTTCTTAGGAGGTGATTCTCCTTTCTCTATTGCAATCCAGCTACCAGCTAAACGGCCTTGGTTTGAGTGACCGGCTTACTCAGGATTAATGAAGACTTTTCCTGATAGTCTGTGTCTGATGCCACAGTTCTGCGCTAACTTTCAGGCCACAAAGAGAAGACAATGGAGCAATTGCGCATCAACATCGACATTAACTCATCCTGTAAGGCGTTTGCCGGATGAGAATAACACACGACTCCAATATAGAAAGTTAAATGAAGGGAAAGAGGAAAAGGAGGATGCATATTTTCAATCTGCCTACCTGCTCAACCCCATGTTGAAGTTGGAGGCTTGCTACGCACAAAGACAGGATTAGCAATAATCAGACAAGCCTGGAAAGCAGTGGAAAGTTGTGGAAGGTGGTGGACACTGGTAGAAGGATCCACGGGCAACTACACATCCTCAATGGGTTCTCCTCATGACATGTATCACAGGGCCTTCTGCTGCACGGACTGGCCGGTCGTTGTCAATTAATCCTCAACTCGTTGCACCTTTCAGACCATTTGAGCCTTCTTGCGCAACATCGAGACATCTACTTTATGTCATTGAACCTGCATTGAGTAGCTAATACATACAGCCATGTGATCGTCTCGCCCGGGCCATGTGGACCACACGTCATGTACACCACACTAGAGAAGATGTACCGCTAGTCACATGGGAAGGGTGGAAGCCATAAGGTGATTGCAACCAAGGACAAGCTTGCAGAGGAGCTGCAAGCTCATTGTGAGTACAAGAAACTCAGCAGCAAACGGTCTGCTTATTTTTGGTATGGACAGCATTGTTGAAACTTTTGGGTGACACTGAACATGCCCGCAAATCTCTGGAGCCATTGAGAAAGATGTATCGTGCAATCAATGAAGCACAAACAATGGACGATACCTGATCGATGTACAGCATGCCTTCAGTGAATATTACACCGCTGACTGAACAGCCCATGAAACGCCAAGTCTCCTTGATTCTCTCCCCACAAGTAGGTACTTTTGATCTTCAATCTTTGGGCCATTGGGTCAAAAGCTAGGTGTTACGGGGTAACAACGACTCGAAACAATTCCATTGAACTTGACGGATTAGGAAAGAGAAAGGTGGGATTTGGAGGCAGTGCTGCAATTAGGTAGGGACGGGTTTTCCCTTTTTGAGATTTCCCCACTGGGTTTGCTCAAAAGCGGTTTTTCACCTATCCACGTATGTACATAGACGCTTGCAGTAGGACAGAGAGGAAGACACGGATCCCTATAGATAGTATATAGTACAATCAGCAAAGTACCAACTCAGCTGATTCTTCAATATCATTCTTTGGCTACATTGATTGCAGAGGAGACACAATCCATCACATAGCGCCAGAGACCCATAGATTTCCACGAGAGTTCCATCGAGTTCGACCCAGCCTGCGACCTAGTCATCGTGTTTCCAGTACCGTTACACTAGGTCAGCAAGTCAAGGAACTCCCCCCATGGGCTGGTACGGCTCTCTGAAGGAGTATCTTGCAGTCAGGCACCTTCTTTGCCTAATAGCGTTATTCAGTTTCTCAGTTTGACTGTCCAAACCAAACCTTCTCTTTGATTGGCATGAACAACACTGAAGTCAAAGTGGAAGTGGTCAAGGAGGATCTCCTTTGGTTTGACTGAGAGTTTCAAATGTAATCCAGTGTTAGGTGTGTGCTTGAAATGAGTGGGTAGGTAGGTCTGTAACTGTTAGGGACCCAGCCGGAGACGGGACCCCTCCGGAGCTCCACGGATCCGATCAGACCTGACCAGAGATGTTCCACTCCGGAGTGGTCTGACTCCTTCAGCAGACCCAGCCAGAGAAAAAGCAGGTTCCTAATGAGTTTATGAGGTAACAATGGCTAGATGAAAGTGTTTCCATATGCTTCAAACAAGCACATCCATCTGCAGTAATTTTCCATGAGATTGACATGGTCTGTGAGCAATTGGTCAATTTTTAACACCAATCATCAGCCCATGTCTTTCCGTGACAATACCAAACCTGAAGCAACTAATGAGATTGTCCTGCTTACACAATGCTCAGAGCCAACTAAGATAGACCACTGGGAGGTTTGGTTGCTAAATTGTCATTAGGAAGAAGAGTAGTTTGGGAAAACTAGGGTGAATAACTCAAGGGCACGTGGATTACTCTGGGTGGGTCCGGACCCCTCCGGAGTGGCATGTTTCTCTGCCTGGGTCCCAAAGGGGTAGTTTGAACCATGCCACTCCGGAGTGGTCCATCTCCGGCTGGGTCCTTAACACCTCCACCTGTCCTCTAGGCTCACCTCTTGCCCTGCAGTGTTATGGAACACTGTGGATAACACTTGGGACAGGATGCACTTGGAAGATGTTGGAAACACAAAGATCAATTGGTAGGTGGGGAGTAGACAAGCTGAGCTGTGAGCAGAGAGGAAAGGGATCCAAGTTGGTTTTACCATCAAGGTGGAGGATCCATCAAGCACAGCAACATTCAGCAGGAAGCTGTTGACCACTAAGATGGAACAAAGTACATATGATTGAGGAGTGTAAGATCTCGGCTTTGATTCAGCTTGGTTCTCTTTGAGGACTGATTTGGGTCCTCCAGTTGACTACAGAAAACGTCACCAGTTGTTGGGTGTATCAGGTGTAGATAAACGAGGAGGATGCGACGGCTAGACTCTCTATTTATGGGTCCCAATGGATATATTGGCAATACACACAATCTTTGATACCTCTGACATGACTCGGTTGTGGACACATTCTGATTCAGCAAAGAGTGAGTGAATCATGTCTTGAAGGCAAGACTGGCTTCTTCCAACAAAATCAGGGCTGATGGTTTCGGCACAAGCATGAAGCTGATGCCTGCTCAATCAAGTCCTCCATGTATTGTTTGGTCAATACATGTATTTGCAAGGTGAGGCATCTGGCTAACAACATGGTCTGCAAGACCATGTGCTACAACACGGAGGGAAGTTGGTCATCTGCAATACATACTCCCATGCCGGCTTTCTGCTACATATTGTGACACTTTGCCCGGTTGCCTTCCCAGCTGACTCTCAGAGAGAAATCATCCTCATTTTCAAACTTCACCCCTGAAAAGACTGGTCCGCTTCCAAAGGTCTCATCAGAGGCGATTAACCTAGTAGTCGCTTCGCTTGACTATTGCTTCTTCTTGTATCTCGATGGCTGACTTCCGGGATCTGTGGGGAGATCAAGTCCGCCCTATATCGCCAATCCATCGAGCCGAGTGACAGAAATTCTCTATGAAATGAGAAAGACGTGCCTCGGAAGTTTCAAGATGTTGAGCAGGTCGAGAGCGAGCGGTACAGATGCCAAAGTCAAATGAAAGTTTCCTTATTCGAAGGGATCAAAGAAGAAGAGACAAGCTCCTCATAATAAACTTTCCTCAGCATTCCAGTGATTTCTGTCACGACCAGTACTTACGCGAGATGAACTCTCACTAGCAGAGTTGATGTTGAGCCTTTGAGGACCGTTTATGATTGCGGGCTCGCTACCCGGTTATGGTGGTTTCTGTCCGCAATTTTGGCCCATGCTCGTAAATCTGCGTAAGTGAGCGCTAAGCAATTTTGAGTGTTAAATGCCTGATGCATAAGAAAAGAAACAAAAAGACGGAAAGCAAAGGGATGAGCTGATTGAAAAGGTGCAGAGAAGAGATGAAAGAAGAATAGACAAGCTCACATAACAAACCTTCATTGGCATTCCATGGCCAGTCCACATTTGGAACACAAGAGCTGTTTACTCTTGAGCTGTGTTCAAACATACCATCCATGAGCGTATCCACATTTGAAGACGTCATCAGAATCTTCTCTGTGATCTTCGAGAGGGCTTACACTCGTCCCTCCCCGGCCGAGGATATGGTGATCATGAGCTCCGATGGGGAGAGAACGAACCAGTTCCCAGTTTGAAAATAAGCTGAATACACATGGTGCATTTCCATACGGAAGAGACAGTTTAAGAAAAGGGGGGGGGGGGGGGGGGGTCACGAAGACGTCACCCCTTGATATCGATGAAGCAAGGAGAAGACCTGTTCCGCCGCCGTTTACGTCTACTATGGGGCACTTCTGGGGATCAGACCTCGATGCGCGAGATGATGATGATACTGGCGAAGAAGTGGCGTCCTCAGTAATTGTGAGGGTGTCAAGAGAAGAGGTGACAACAGGAAGGGTTGCAGAAGACGGGGAAGTGGGAAGATAAGATTCTGTCAGGAGGACAGGGTCGTATTTACCTTTTCTTGGATTCTGACATTGGGACCACTGTACGGGCTGAAAGTTTTGAATATTAGAGATCCGTTTCTGACATTGGGACCACTGTACGGGTTGAAAGTTCTGAATATCGGTCGGAGAGCAAAGGGAGAAAGGGTGCCGAACAATCGAGGGAGTGGTGGTGGTGGGAAATCAATAGTTCTCCCTGCGTAAAGGTCGTTTCGTTCCAAACCTGAAGACGGTATGGTGTGAATCGACATCTAGGGGTCAGATCTCATCATCGTCACTGATATTGATGACTATGACTTCTCGTGGACAGACTTGGCAGGGGCCAAAGATCGGGGGTGGTTTACGGAATGATTGAGACAGGGGTAATCTCATGGAGTGGAGGTGATTTGAGAGTTGTCTTGAGCGACCTAAGAGGTGGAGAGGGAGGTAGGAATTATCTTGCTTTTTGATTGCAACCAGTCACAATAGTGAAAAGAAGAGAAGGCAAGAGAGAAAAGAGAGAAAGAGTCCACAGTTGCCGTTTAGTCTCTCAATCTCGCATACACATACCTATAGCTCATACACCACTTGTGCTTGAGTCTACAAGCTGGCATGGATACATTCAATCAGATTATAGCTGAAGACGAGCCGGTCAGTCACTTGTACTAGATTCGCCCCCCTCCCCCCTCCGCTCACATATCTTTCAGCCTGCGCTCCTTTCCCCAGGAGAGATCCAAGACCTTCAGCAAGCTGCTCATGAACACCTGCAATATATCACTGCTCTTCTATGTCAAGAACATGTCAACCAAGATCCGGATGATGTTATTGATGCACAAGATACCCTTCACAAGCTCCATGATGTTATCAGATCTCTAGAATATTGCCTTCCCACCAAGGTCTTTTCAGACCTGATGGTTTCCGCTTCCCAGATCGAATCATCCCTTGGGCTACTTGCTCACAGCCTCAACGCTGGCGCCAACCAGATTCTAGCTCCACTTGGTCGCATCTGGCAGAAGGACAGTACAGGATGTCCCTTTCTTGACATCAACATCGAACTCATGCTTCTCCTCATGCAGCATAATTGGGAAGACCGAGAGCTAGGAGAGTAATTTCAGTGTACAAGGCAGACACTGTGGGCTCGGCGAAAGTCTCTGGGAATCACAAAGAGAGGACTTACACCCACCTCTGATCTGCAGCTTGCAGAGGTACATCAATGGATTCCATGCGATCACTTTTCATTCAATCCACTCATGCTCTTCTCTCTTATGAGCCACTTTTTGTGTACTCGACTGACTACACAGACTCTCCACTGCATCATCTTCACCTCAACAGGACTCATGGGTGTCAAAGCAGTCCAGGGCGTACTCCGGGCTCGCAGATTCTTTGTGGCACGAGAAGGAATTCGACTCACCCTTTGCGTTGCTGCACCTGATGCTATGACGGCTCGCTGGGCCCGTCACATCAAATGAAGGGTGTGTAAAGCTCCCTATGTCAATAGTCTATGGCATATTGATGGTCACCACAACCTTGTTCCGTGGAAGACTGTCATTCATGGTGAAATTGATGGATACTCTCGGATTGTGACATTTCTCCACGCCTCCACAAACAACCGGGCCATCACTGTCCTTGGTATATTTCTCAGAGGAACAACCCAATGGGGTTGGCCTGCTTGGGTACATGCAGACCATGGAATCAAAGAGGTAATGAAGGAAGTGAGAAGTGAGTCTGTCACCTCAAACTCGGAAATTTGCCTCATGTGTGCAGGTAATGTTTGACATCCCTTCATACAGGGACCTTCCACTCAAAGTCAACGTATTGAACGTTTATGGGTGGACATGCAGAACTGGACTATATTGGCATATCAAGGCACCTTTGGGATTCTTGAGTGAGAACAACAGTCTTCTTCACCAAGAAGAACCAATCGAGCTATGGTGTCTTCACTTCTGTTATCTGCCCATGATCAATAGGAACTTATACGCGTTTCAAACTGCATGGAACAATCACGAATTTTGCACAGAGCATGAGTAAATGCCCATAAAGAGACACCGCCGCAGTGAGTTTTGTGCGCTACACCAGATCTGAGGACTGGTTCATTCGGTAGTAGTGCTAATCCAAAAGGTTGTATTCAAGCTGTTTGTCAAGGTATACATATCTTGCAAGATCCCTATGCTCTTCCTCCTACAGCAACACTATGCTGAGAACTTTGTATACTACAGGCTAGACAACTTTGGAAATGGCGCCAATCCTATTCCGCAACGTGACAATCCTCACTTCACATTCCAGCAGTCCTATCTGGGATTCCTATCCCTCTTCAGGTCTCTCTTGAAGCAGAGATCACACAGGAAGCTCTACTGGTGATTGTAGAACCTGCTTGGCCCCCAGGGATGGATTGGGGACGTTCTAGGTAGATGTACTCCGGAACAGCCTGTATGGAATGCTGTCCATTCACATTCCTTGTTGAATAGTCGGATGTTTTTTGCTGTCAAGCAGCAATGCAATCTTCTTCATCCCAAAGTCAATGCATCATGTATCTACATATGTATGCCAACCACGGCTTTTGAGTTTTCATGATTTTATCAGATTTGACCCTGTGACAGAAAGAGAATAAGTGGGATGACAGAACTAAATTCGTTGATGAGGGTCAATGTGCTTCGGACTGTTCATGGTTTGACGGGGATGGATCACGTCTACTAGTTAGCTATCTGGGACTAACAGTAACCGAGACCAAGTGCGAAGGCTTGTTGTGTGGTGCTGGTTCATCAAAACTGATATGGAGATGAAGTCTATATGATGCAAATTGGAAGCTTGAATACCAGAGGGAACACCAAGAGCGACTTGGAGGATGAGGTTGAGCAACTCACTACGGCAAATAAAGAGTGAACAATATGAGCTAAGGCATGACCAGTACCGCACTTCTAAGTTGGCACACCGGCGACATAGATGGGGCGTTCAGGGTGAAGATATGCGACGTGGAGATGGCCTCAGCTCGAATATGCTCTGGCATCAGCTCAAATACAGTACAGAGGGTCCGGAGGTGTTTTGTTGATCAGACATAACACGTACGTGGGAATATCGATAGCACATGTTGTAAGGTAACCCTGGGAAATCAGCTACCGGTCCGTTATATTCTGAGCAGTGAAGGTTTGGGAAAGACATTGAGATTATAGAGCTCACTACTAATTTACGAGCCCGAAACATTGTCAAAATTCGTCTCCAATCTCATCACCATTGTTGGGGGGGGGGGGGGGGGGGGGGGGGGGGGGGTTAAATAGTAAAATACCGTGACTAATAAAATCTACTTTCCAATACGGTCAAGGATCTTCCCACACCGTCTATAAGATTACGTGAGCCCAGAGACATCCCACAATGAACATTAACAGACGCCGAAGAGAGGTCAACATTACTAAGCCCGTACTTGAGCTCCCAAACTGGCCTCCGTTCACTCAATCCCTAGATTGCCTTTGTTACCTAGCCGAAGGAAGTTTAAGCGTACTGGCAATTTAATAATCATGACACGTACCGGAAATCGCCTCCCAAGACTAAGAATTTTTTTTTTTATTTTTTTCTCGTATAGACTTACAGTGGCCAAGAGGGAGGAGCGTGTT